TCCTGGGTTTCCTATAAGAGTGCCTCTTAATGTCTTTAAATTCCTCCATATGAATTTTAAATACAGTTTTATATGTTTGTTTGGTCAAAACAACATGAGTTTGTAAAGACTGAAGCAGAAGTGGGTCCAACGCAGTTTAAGAGGTAAACGCCAATAAAAATATGCTCTTTCTGTAGGTAGGTACCAGGAAAAACTAAAGTGGGCTTCTGTTTGGACTAGATAAATAGATAAATGCAGCATGACATAATAAATGTACAATTAGAGTCAGCATGGAAGAAAGCATTAAAGTGTCTATGCTATGCTGAAGAAATTGAAAAAAAGTTAAATATGAAAGTAAGACAACCTAATGTCATATTGTAGTTTGATTAATTATTAGACCTGATATAGTAGAAAAAGCAGACATTTGATTCAATATTTGACTATTATTGGACATACCTAGTTTATATACCTTGATTACAAAGTCTGATAGTTTGACTCTTGAATTTATTGATTTTTTCTTCCAGGTGAAATAACAATATAGTCCATTAAGGACTCAGGTTTTACACTTTAAACTGACGAGTCTTTGTTTAATGTCTTTATTGTGTTAATTACTTATTTATACGTGTATAAAAAATGCAGTGGTACAGCTAACATTCTTCACTTGGGGTGTGTTCACAAGAGCAATAGTTCACAAATATGCATGACTCACTACAGATTTGTATATGCAATTCAATACACTATTCTAACAATTTATGGTAGAAACATAATAAAGTGTTTCTTTTTAGGGATGTTCTGAAGCTTCTCCTGGAAACCCAGAGGATCCTCAGACCCTGGCACTTAAAGATGATATTTTCTTGCCTTCATGCATCCTAACATCAACTCAAGAATTTGTCCATATTTGGTCTTAGCTATTGAGGACCTACCTCGTAAAACCTCCGACTGTACCTGTACAGCAGCTTTCTAGTCTTCCGACCACTCAAAGCGCTTTACAAAATACGCCATTTTCACATACTGATGACCAAGAGCCAACTGCTCATCCAAAAGAAACTAATCATTCACTCACACACAGATGGCACGGCCTTCTGGATCAATTTGAGGTTCAGTATCTTTCCCATGAACACTTCAACATGCAGGCTGGGGTAGATCGAACCGCTGATCTTCCAATTAGTGGGTGACGCGCTCTACCTCTAAACTTAATATGAAAGAGCAACAGAGAATCAATCACACAGTCGGAAAAGGTTCAAAGGAGCCAAATCTTTGAATGGTCTCTGATATGTAAAGCCCGATGACTAAATTTCACATGAAACAGGAAGTCAGGAAACAGAAAGACAAACAAGCTTGAGAAAAACATCATTTGAAGTGCCAAGATATGACAAGTTGACTCTAACTAACATGACACGTTAGGGTTACAGGTTTAAAAACAGACTACATATTAGAAGATCAGTTTTAAACCAGCTCACAATCAGAAGATAAGCCTGCAGAAAACTGCACAGCTCATTGTCATATCAATATAGTCCATCTCTACTAGGCCGTTTTAATAAACTGTGTTTTGCCAGGCACAACAAAAGACTCTCTTAAATCTACCTTTGGCACACCTGTTGACGGTTACAGTCTTGATTGATTAATGATGATCACTTTCAGGCTGTAAGCTCATGACTGCTCAGTTATGTTAAAACTGCGGTTACCTCAACCACTGCTGAACACATGTTTACTTCATTAAAATAGAGGTAAAATAATGGAAAAAACCTTCAACTGTTAAAAGAGGTAGCTAATATAAAACCGTCAAGAAATGACATGTGCAAGTTTTATGGGCAAATAATCACCAACGATTGCACCTCTAGCTTTTATGGCTCTGAAGGATGAGGTCATACAGATAAATTGGCCTATAAAAAAGGGACTAAATTGTACTATGACACCTCATCCATCTTTGACATTTAGTTGGCTGTGAAATGCACATCAACAAATGAGCACACAATTCACACGTATTCACACAGTCAACACCTGGGCAAAGGAAATATTTTATATTCTTGTGGCAAAATGTGTTGACTGAAGAGTAGAAACTTATCATGGCATGGTAAATTATTCCAAAATGATGCCTGGAATGAGGCCTGCATGATATGAGGAAAAACTGCAACAACATTAGTCACTATTGCAATGATGTGACTTGCGACAAATATTGAAGTCAGCATATTAGCACTACAGTTCCTATGTCAGCAAGGTTAAACAGGAATCTAATTGATCTCACAGTAACGAACGTGGTTGTCGTGATCGTCATGTTATCGCAATGGTGATGAAAATACACAGCACTACCTTGAACCAGAGTGTTCAATACACTCATGCACAAGTATTCACACGGTATAATTTGGGTTTAGGCTCATAATGCTGTACTGGAAGAAAGACACTGACTGTGCTGCACATAGGCCGTGCAGTCTCACCTGTGTTGCCTTGCGATCTATTGAAATCTATTTCTGCATATTTCTCTGCAAGTTGTTGGTGGTGGTGAAAAGAGAGAACGCTGTGTGGATGAGAGTCAACAGGTGTCAGGAGCAATGGTGGCTACTATCCAAAAGTCAGATTATACTGGCAGTGACCTGCAGGCTGAAATTCCACCCGGGGAGGCACGGAGGCCTGATGAAAGCTCTGATTAATATCACTGCCTTTATAGCACTCTCACTGACCGATATAAAAACAACAGTCCTGCAAAACACAGACACGCCTTGAACTGACAACCACGTTTTACCACATGACAGCAGTCATGCATGCACGCAGCTGTGCCAGATCACGTGTTTTCAAAGTCACGATAGTTGCAGCGTAAGGTTTTCAAAGAGCCAAACTGGACTCTGACAACAGAAAGTCACCACTGAAAGTGAAAAGGAATACAGTTCGTTCGTGCTCTATGTACAACAATCATCTCGGACAACTAGCTGTTGCTTAAGTAAATTATGGGTGCACGAAAAATAAATATGTCACGAATATTTTGAGCCTAGTTAGCGTCCTATCAGAGATCACTGTCAACTCAAATTAGAGGTGCAACAATAAGCCTAATAACCAACTGCCAGAAAATGAACAACCATTTTGATAACTGATTAATTTCATTAATGATGTTTCTCCAGTGTCTCTGATTTTATGCTTTTCACAGTTTTATATCACTGTAAACTACCAAATATCTTTGGGTTTGTTCTGTCGTTCAAACAAAACAAACAACTTGAATACGTCTCTTAGTTCAAATTCATCAGTAAATGCCTGGTTGTTAGGGTGTAAAACCTGTAGACTTCACCATAGCACAGGACTGGATACTATTAGCTTGGATGAAACACTGCATGCAAGCAGGGAAAGTGGATGGACATTTTTAGAGTGGAAAGAGAAGAATACATTAGTGTCTGGGAGAAGTAGAGAACAGTTTGGACAGCTGACACGACACACTGAGGACTGCAAAACAAGGGAGAGAAACAGAGGGTGACAAAGGGAGACAAGCAGAGAATAGGAGACAGAAAGAAAGCAGAGACAGTAAAAGAGAGACGGCTCGCATGGCATGACCATGACTATAAACAAAGCACACACACACGCGGACTATCTGCAGGACAGTGGTCAATTCATGACAAGAAAACAAGCCGACAAATTGACGGAAACACACTTACAGGCATGCAGAGACCATGCGAAACAAACATACAGTCATGATGGAGTGCCACGAATTGCTGACAAAAGCCTTCACACAGAATACATTCCGGCCCTGTCTGCAGCTGAATACGACTAAGACTACGTCAACTTTAAACCAGCAGTTATGGCACCCTCCGTCTGAAAATACATAAGGGGTTAGCTTCAGCTCACCAATGACCTGCTGTGGGGATAATTTAATTAGAAGCCTGTTTTCTGGTTCGCTCAGTAACTGCTGTCTTAATCATGGGACTGCTCAGAAGTATCAGCGTGTATTTGCACATCACTGGGGAGAAAACATTTTAGACAGTTTAACATCTAAATAAAAGCCACAGTTTTCAAGAATACATTTTGTGTTTTGGTTATGGGTGCTTGGGTGAGGCTGACGGTACTCCCTTCATACACTGCAGGCATTATTGTTGTCCTCACAACATGAATCTCCTGTAAAACCAGAACACAGGACAGTACAGTGGTAACACTAGACTGCTGTCACAACAGTGCTCCATTTCTCTGCAGGGAAAGTATATCAGTTTTGAGCTACGCAACTCCAGATCAGGGCCCTCTACAGTCTCTACAGCACGGACTCTGAAAGACACACTCTTAGATGGCATTTTCAAATGGGGCGTTTTTTTTCCCCAGGGCATCGACTCTATTTAGACCAACCTTGCATTCTTAAAAACTACCTGCAGCTTCAATAACCACTTTTGGGCAGCAAATAAAAAACTGGAACATAGGATTGAGTAATTGTACACATAAATAAACCATTGCACACTTCCCCTTGGGGTGGTACAAATCAACAAATCCAGTGTCTAATAAAAGACTAAACCTAAGGGGAGACTGGGGGGGGAAAGGGGGACGTACACACTTAACAAGAAATGAAGGATAGCATGAGGGAGTATAGCAGGGGAAATGTGACAAGGATTTCTGAGCTGATGGAGGTGGATGTGTCATGGTAGGGGGTTGGCCGAAGCAGAGCATCTGCTGAGTCACCAGCTCCCTCAGTGACTCGGCAGCTGCACTGCTTTTAATCCAACCACTGATGTTTTTACAATAGCAATATCCAGTGAGCTGCCCACTGCCTACTGAAGGCTGACAGAGTGCCCTCAGGGGACAGAGGACCAAGCAAATGTGACATTGGACTACCTAGACCTGAATGAATCTCCTGCTCTGCTATTACAGCAAAACCAGACAGAAAACCAGTTGCAGGATGCTGTTACAAGCAGAGATACAGTGACAATGGTCTCTAAAAAAAGCATTTGTACCAAGAATAATGACTTCCACTTCTCATTTACATTAAAACCTTCATCTGGAAAAACAGGTTTACGTTAGAATAAACAGCTTTGGCAGCACAGGCTGTCCATCCTTACCTGTCATCCTCTCCTTCAGCATGCTGAGTCCTAAGGCCTGCAGCAGCAGCAGCCATGAAGGCGCTGGCCTCAGCTGACATCCCCATGTGGGCCAGTGTTCCAGCAGCACCGCTGACCTCCGCAGCCCCGACTCCACCAGTTGCTGCCCCCAGCCTGGGCAAACCCAGTAGGCCTTGGTGCTGGAGCAGAAGCTTCTGGGCGTCCTCCAGCTGTAAGGTTTTTATGGAGCTCCCTCCTCCAGGGACCTGGGTGAAGGTAGCGCCTGGTGTGAGGAGGGGCTGGAGGACAGCAGTCAGAGGCATGTAGGGGTTTCCATGGGCGTGCGCAACTGGGACTGGGGCAGTGGAGGGGGGCTGGACTGGTGGCTGTGGGTGAGGCTGTGCTGGGAGGGTCTGCGGCTGTCCTGCAAATGTTGCCTGGACAGGTGGGGCTACCTGACCTTGATGGGGCAGCTGCTGAGCAATGCTGACAGGCTGCTGTGCTGTGACCCCTGGAACTGGTGTTATGGAGATACCTGTTGTGACATGTGGCAGTGGAGGCTGGACCTGGGTCTGGAAGGGAGCAGTGGGCTGGATAAAGTCTGGCTGCCGGACACTTCCCGGGGCCATGACCCCGGCATGGAGCTGAGATGCAGGGTAACCTCCCTGTGGTTGAGCCTGCTGGGTATCCACAGTGTAGGGAAGCTGCTGGGATATTACAGGGGGAGCCTGACTTAAACCGGCCTGTGGTGTTGCTGTAGGGAGAGAGAGAGGAGCCACTGGTTTCTGCATGTGAGCCCCACCAACAACCTCCTGGGGTGAAACATAGGTGAGAGGAGTGGTTTGGGCCAGTCCCTGTGGTGGGCTCTGCATGGTTTGAGGACTAGTGAAGTCCTGGTTTGGCGGCTGATAGGGCTGCAATGTGTGAAGTGGCTGTACAGCAGGTATGCCCTGACTAATCCCCGCATTACCTGCCTCAGTCTCTGCAGCCACCTCTGCACCTTTTGGTGCCTCAGCTGTAGTTGGATGAGGAATCTCCTTTTCATAATACTCTGTACACGTCCATCTTCCTTTGCGGAATGGTTCAGAATTTGTGTCTAGTTTGACCACCCTAAAACGAGAACCAGTAGCTGTCTGAGTTTGGGTGTGCTGGGTTTGAGTGTTGGGGACTGCAGCAGACGGGCCTGGTCCTCCTCCAACAGAAGCTACTTGTCCACTCAAACTAGTGCTGTCAAAGACTGCAGGCCCAGAAGGAGGAACCGCAGCAGCACTGACAGCAGACACATTACAAATGTTCATACTGGGTTGTTGAAGTGGATCAACTGCAGTCCCACCAACAATCGGGGCTAATGGTTGGGTTGTCCCACCTGCAGGCGTAGTGTTATCCAACATCAGTGGCCTCTGGGACTGGCTAGGTCCAGCTTTGGAAATTGTAGCTGGGCTGGAAGTAGCCATGGGAGCAATGGGAAGAGCTGGTAATGAGGGTTCAGCTCCTCCCAAGCTATCAGAGTGATGATGGTGGGACTGGCTGTGTTGCTGAGGATAATAATGATGATGCATGGTCCCATTTACCATAGAGGTGTGCTGGTGAGACCCCTGAGGGATGGAATGAGGGTGAAGAGGCTCATTGGGTGACACAAGTCCAGGTGTGTCAACCCCGTGGAGACTGTTCAATGTCTCATCAGAAGAGCTTCTCTCCGGCACACCTGTATCCGTGGCCCTGGAGACGGAAACATCCAGCATATCAGAGGAGGAGAGGTCTTCTGTGTGGGACTCGTCCATATCATCATAGCTCTCAGTGTCGTCTGCTAAACTGTTGTTGCCGCTCACATTGATCTGAGCTGAGGTGACGCTTGTTATCTGGAAGCCACTCTTCTTCTTCACCTGAGCGCCGGCCACTTGAGACTGGGGCTGGTGGTGGAGTCCGGGAGAAGAGGATCCAGGCTGGGTTGGATTGTCGTCAGCCGTGTTGACGCCACTGCCACCGGCTGCAGAGGAGGCAGACGCGCCGCTACTGCCCCTCCTGTAGTGGTAAGCCGTTTTCCTGCCCCCGGTCCCAGGCGGGTCTCCAGAAAAATCCTGGTGGTGCATTTTCACAGTCTAGGAGTTACTAAAAGGCCAAGAAGTGGCTGACGGCGCTACCTACTAGCTAACACAGATGCTAGCTAACGTTAGCTGGGTCAGCTGCAGTACCGCGATACTAACGAGCCATAAGTGATAAGTCAGATGATTTATGTCCTTTAAAATCAAGTTCAGTGTTGCAGGCAGTAATTCGGCTGAAACGCGAGCTTATTAGCGACGTCCCTCTTCTCAACACAAGTAGTAATCAAACACTGTATTCAGTGAAGCAAATAATATAAACAAAGAATGCGAGATTCAGCTAGCCGTTGGTTAGCGTAAAGCTGTAGCGATAAGCCACGCTCTTCTAGAACTTGGTGTACTTTTTCACTGCTACTTATAATTATTTTGCGGACATTCGTGTCACATTAAACACACAGAAATAAGTCTAGTCCCGAATAGTTAAGGTGCACTCAGGTGGTCTTCAAAGTGATTGTGGAAGCTTCTTAGCTGGCCGGTGTATGTCGCAGGAAACCAGCCGTCGCATCCATTCCTCTCATGAACGGCGAGTCTTTTCCCCGAAACAAAAATGAGCCTTTGGAAGAATAAAGTCCGTCTGCCGTCAGTAGACAAAGGTGTCTAAATAATATCCGTCTTTGTAGTGGTAAAAAGTGCTCGCTAAGTCCATCTCGGTGTGTCTTACGCAGCCCGTGTTTGCTGTATCATTGCCGGTGAACAGCAACAGCAGCTAACGGGGCTGTCAGTCTCAGCGGTGGGAGGAGGAATGCAAACATTGCGTCTACGCATGCGTATTTCCTCTGAATGGTGCAACGTTCAGGCTCTTGTTGAGTCGGAATGTGTATAATCCAGGTTTTCAAGCAGGTCAGGTTGACGTTTTTTCTTATAAAGATGGATTTATTCAGATATGAATCGCATATGACAATTATAATTTTAGTAAGTGAGCATTTTACAAAGTATTTATCGCTGGAACCAAATGTTCAAGGTCAGAATGTCTGTTTTACGATAATTTTAATCAAGTGAAGGCAGCGATTCTGGATTGTGTTTGTTTCTTTTCTTGGACCCCACTGTTTGGAAAGCGCTACTATAAACAAGCTGTATAAAGTGAACAGTAGGCCTGTTGATTTTTGTCTATGACGCTGTTCTAAATATGTATTTTCCTTGTTTATTTGCTCATTAATGGTTAATATTTAACAAATTAAACTATTATCTAGTATTTGCCCCAATACACATGAATTCTAAATTTAAGTGAGACTGACTTCCCTCGGAGAACTTTAGCCTCTATTTGCTGTATTCAGATAAACTTTTCATAAAAGGGTTAACTAGCCAATCGTTGGTGACAACATATCACGCGACACAAGCCCTGACACAAAGATAAAATTTTAACTATCCTCGCTTATAGGACCAGCTTGTTCTGCCTGTTGGGCATAACTCAGCCAAAGGCTAGAGGTTCTATACAAATCTCCCAATACAGATTTTACACATTAAAAACCACTCAGACTTCGATCTACTCGTTGGCTTTTTTTGTGCCTGCCTTGTGGCGACAGATTCTCATGTTAAACATGTAACAGCAGGTATGACTGACATGCTGCTGTAGTGACGGGAAAAAGTTGGGACACGCCTGCCAGAGCACTTTCAACATGTCAGCATCACGGCTATTCATAAACACATCACATGCACCTGTAGGGGAGGGCGGGCTATGGTAAAGTTCCACTCTGAAGTCTGATTCCAAAGGTTGCCTAATATTGAAACTGCAGAAAGTAAACAGATGTAAGCCATGCTTTTTGTAAATGACATACTCCTTTTCTGCAGATAAGGTGTTTAGATTAGTGTTTACCCGGGATCATCACAGGAGAGTTGTGTCATCCTCTACTTTTTTTACTATTTAATATAAATTATAAAAAGCTCATTATCACTGGACATTTCGCTCTTGATCAATAGTGATTTGATTCTACATGGGAAAAATAACCAGCATAATATTACAGCAAAAATATAATAATCACATCAAAAAGTTGTTTATTTAACAATAAGCAAACAACTTCTATACACGAAAAAATGTCACCATAAATCATCTATCAGATTTTGTAGGTTTTCAGCATTTGCATGAGAAAACATTTTATCATTGTTCATACAAAAAGGGTGTGGACAAAAAACACAACACATGACAATATAATGTAATTTAATGCAGCAAATGATCCATTTAGAAGATTAAAATATATACAAATCTGTCTAATCTTTTTCTAGACCGTGTCACAGATGTTTTTTGTGAGGCCAAAGCTTGTGATGGAGTGGTTGTCTTATATAGGGTGTTGCCCACAAACAAACTAACACAGCACTTAACAGGTTAAGACTTATTACAATGACCAATCACTGTGGAGATGAATATTAATATGAGTATGAGAGCAATTACTGCAGGTCCCAACAGGAATATTAGACCGATCCCACAGAAGATAACAAAAACATCACAAGGTACAATGCCCTCATTATTAACTCAGTAGTACCAGAATCAACTTCATTTTCATAACCATTTTTGCAACACAGGAGGGAAATTTTCTTTGCATGTCAGTTTCAGGGTGTTCCTCACATTATTCAGAATCAGAATCAGAAATACTTTATTGATCCCCGAGAGGAAGTTCTTTAATTTGTTATTACTTTTTGAATGCTGAAAATGTAGGCAAAACTATCTACTATAGATTTAAGAACAACAGACATTCAGTACTTAGCATGTAATATGAATTCAGAAAGAATTTATTAGTTACCAAACTTAATTTAAAAAAACAACCCCTCAGGTCCACTGTAGTTTCCTGTCGGTCTGTAGCAGTGATGCCTGTTGCAGCCTGTCAGGTTTGTAGAAGTGGTTTTTGAAGGTTGTAGAGAACACACTGTATGGTGACATTTTTCTCATGGTAAATGTCTGGAGCCAGAAACTGTCCATGCTGAAAGAAAAAATAAAACACATATTGTTAGGATTTCATTTTTACACAGAATGAGAACTGTGGATTCTGTCCCCCATTACTTACAAAAGCGTGTAAGAATTAAGACGATTATCAGATCAACATTGGAAAGGCTTGAGTCAGGGAGAGACCTCCGCCTTGTTTGGAATGTAAAAACTGACTCCATCCTATTGGAGAGGTAAACTAACATTACAGCCAAGCACGTTCAATATATTGTGAATTTGTAGTTTTAGTTGGCTCAAGTTAGATAACGTTAGCTTGCTGGCTAACATCGACCAGTTGCTAACCTTACCTGTTGCAAAATACTTCAGTTGTATTGCTTTTCATATTACTATCCTGTGTACCACCGGTATTATGTCAAAGTGTTGATTTTGACTGCAAGAAATGATGAAACGGTACAAAGCAAATGTGGAGTGATTTGTTTATACTAGGCTTTGGGTAGCCAGCTACATTAGCATGGGTCTGCCATTGTTTGCTTCGTATCCTTCATTTAGATTTAGTGTTGTTTTACTGATACTAAGGTACACATCTTCTCCACCCGTCTCCATCCATCCATCCATCGTCAACCGTTTATCCTGCGTACAGGGTCGCGGAGGGCTGGAGCCAATCCCAGCTGACATCGGGCGAAAGGCAGGTCGCTAGTCCATTGCAGGGCCTCCACCTGTCTCAGTCGCTGTAATTTACGAGACTGACTTAGCTCACTAACTAATTTTTCATCAAATCATCAAATAAATTAAGCTACGCTGACTACGAGCTACGAGCATGGATTAGTTATGTTAAAGTGATAAAAATATTACCGTGACGTTAGAGTTGGGGTTTCCCTGAGTTCCCAGCATGTTGTGTGAAGCTTTCCCCAGTGTGTTGGACTCTGTTTTGGCTTGCTGATGATTTCGAGCATGTTACTGTGAACACGCTAGGAAAGGTAGGTAGTGGTTGCATTCTGAAACCGCACAGCTATAGGCCACTGAAAACTACACATGACCCCTTTAAGTTGATACGGCAACCTTGTTAGCAAATAGTTTACAGTCTCTACCAACTCCCGCAAGAAATATCCAGCTTTTTAGCTGCTAAATGCTCAATTATGTTAGCCAGGTTGTCACTAACTGTAGAGTGGGTTTTTAGAGCATTTACTTTGAAAACAGCTGCCTGCTGCAGTTAAAAACAATAAATAAATACATTATGATCAACATATCAATTAATTAATAAAATCAATATAGCACCTTTATTGTAAGTGCTAGAGAAATTTTATTTTTTCTATTTACTGGTCAATTTCCCATGCAATAATGTATACTTTACATGATTTCACTGCCAATATATAAATTTATTTATTTATCATTTAATTAATTAATGATGGGATTTGTTAGAGAGGGCTATCAATGACAGACTTCCTGATTCTTTAAGTGATACTAGACCTGAAATCTATTTTGGTTATCAAAGACTCACTACCTTTAGGCTTAAAGTTGGTTCTGAAGAAACAAATGCAGATGATTTCATATTGCAGATAATTTCAGGCAAAACCTATAATCTATTTAAACACATGTGCTGTGTGATGCACTGCCTATTGTGCCAACAATTTAAATACAATGGACACAACCTAGCAGCTAAAGCTGTGTATCTTGGAGATCCCAGGATTCTTCTTCCAGAACATCCACTCAGTACAAAACATGTGCCCCGTGTGAGGCTCGAACTCACGACCTTCAGATTATGAGACTGACGCGCTGCCTACTGCGCCAACGAGGCAGGCAAGATTTCATGTGGAAACTTACCCTGCGAGACTGTTTAGGCCTGACAATAACATGCATCTTGGGTAATCCAATCACAAGTGGAGAGCTTTAAGCTATAAGACAAATATATTTAGATATAATTTTACAAAACAGGGCTGTATAACAAGATTAAGTGGTAGTTCCCTTAACGCTACTCAAAAAATCTTTATATACAAAAAGTATACACAGATTAGTGAATAAATAATTCATAGAATAAAACTATTTCACATGGTGGAGTGCTGAGGACTAATTTAGGTTATTTTAGTATCCTTTTTCTCAGCAGTACATTGTTCTCTGTGCACCTCTGCAAGACTTTTCTCTCTATATTAAGTCTTGTTGTTTGTAATCCGGCCGATGATGGTGTTGTTGTCTGTATACTTCACAACAGCGTTGTTTTCATGTTGAGGTTTGCAGTTGGGGGTGTACTGCGTGAACATGAAGGGGCTGAGCACACGGCCCTGGAGCTCTACAGTGGAGGAGTGTCTGTCCATCTGAACTGTCTGGGCTCTGTTTATGAGAAAAGTCCAATATCCATTTGCAGTGTTTTAAATCCAGAGTGCTGAGTTTGCTGATCAGTTTCATGGGGGAGATTGTGTCAAATGCTGAGCTGAATTCCACAAACAGCATTCTGATGTAGGTTTTTTTTCTCAAGGCTGAGAGGAGGGCAGTGGAGATGGCATTCTCTGAGGATCTGGTGGTTCTGAAGGCAAACTGGGGATGGTCCAGGCTGGCTGGGAGGTTGTTCTTTATGTGCTGAAGAACGAGTTTCTCAAAGCACTTCATCAGAATGGGGGTGAGTAACACAGGCACATAGTCGTTCAGACTAGACACTGCAGACTTTTTAGGTACAGGGACGGTGGTATAGCCTGTCATGATTTTGCTTTCAGTTTCGCTCTGGCGGTGCTGTATGCTTTTGGGCTGCAGCTAACGATGATTTTAGTATTCAAAGCTTCTATAGATTATTTCAACGAATCACCGATGCGTTGTTTACACAGTACTTTAGCTTGCCTGTGGCACTGTGAGGTTACAACTCACGGCCCAAAAAGGAGAACAACAAGCACACGTTTGTACATTTTCAGATGACGACTACAGCTTACTTTGGCTAGCCGTCAACTCAACAATCAATCACGATTTCAGTTAAATGCTAAAGTTGTTGTTACTGTTACCTTGTCTGTGATCCGCTGGCAGAACACTGGGGGCTTTCTGATCAGATGCTGTGCTGTTGCCGAGGCAACATAAGTTTCGTTTTACGGTGGACGGACTGTAACATTACACAGTTGTTGTTTTATTTAGCTTGAAATAATCCCATACTTTGGACACTTTCTTCTTTGTCCCTGCTGTTTTCTCTGTCTTCCTCCACTTTGCAAACAGCTCCATTATAATCACGTTGTGTTCACAATGTAAGCGCGATGTGCGACAGTAATAAATGTCCCTACGAAACACTGTGCTGTATAGTTATATGGATTTAATGAAGCATCGATGCAAAGAATTTCTGTCGATACATTTTATTAATTGATTTTATTGATTTAATCGATGAATCGTTTCAGCCCTAGTATGCTTCCTTGTCACCTGACCGATAGGTAGCATTTTTGGCTCTGGAAAGAGCCTTCACCTCTCCATTCATCCAAGCTTTCTGGTGTGAGACTGACTTTATTGTCTTAGTGGTCACCACATCATCAACACCTTTGCTGTTTTTACTGAATTGACCCTTTTAATCAGCTTGTGTAATGCTGCGTTCCAGGCAAATCAGAACTCGTAAATTTCGGACCTCCAATTAGAAAAAGTGTGAGTTCCTACTTGTAAACTTGTGAAAAAAATATGTACCCGACTTCACGAGAAGCAGTTTTGTGACTCACAGCAATGGCAGCTTCCATGGAAGCACATCTTGTAAATGGTAAACCATTGGAAAATTTTAAACCTTGCAGTACGGGCTAGAAATGCAGATATAACACATTTAGAAATGTGTTGCATTGGCCGGGAATCAAAGCCGGGCCTCCTGTGTGGCAGGCGAGAATTCTACCACTGAACTACCAATGCTTTATATGTGGCCTGATCTATCACTACATGAAAGAGGCCCACAAACATGGAGACATGTTTATTCACGCATTCACTTTTGCCAATGGGGTGTTAAACCATTTCCTTTTGTTTCATCTGTAAAAACGTCAAAACGTACGCCTTAGTTTCTATGGCGAAATATTCTGTTAACCTCTTACGTGGACCACCAATTCAGTTTGAAGCACATGAACTTATTCTGCTAAGTGTTTCACCATTTTCCCCTCCCTTTCCCACTATTCTCTTTAGTGCAGAGTGTACACTTACTGGCCACTTTATTAGGTACACCTGTTCAATTGCTTGTTAACACAAATAGCTAATCAACCAATCACATGGCAGCAAATCAATGCATTTAGGTATATAGACGTGGTCATGACAATTTGCTGAAGTTCAAACCGAGCATCATTATGGGGAAGAAAGGGGATTTAAGTGACTTTGAACATTGACCGTTGTTGGTGCCAGACGGGCTGCTCAGAGTATTTCAGAAACTGCTGATCTAATGGGATTTTCACGCACAACCGCACAAAACACATGCCCCATGTGAGGCTCAAATTCACAAACCATTTTTAAGATGTTTACTGGTGCATTACTATGTCAAAGATCGTATGGTAATTGTAACTGTCCGCTTGGAGTCCTTTTAAGGTGTATTGATTTCAATGATTGTGACACAATGACTGCTGTTGATACCGTTTGCATGAGTAAAGGCATCTGTGACCTTCAAGTTCGAGGGCTTCATTATGACACCAAACTTCAGATAAAACAAGCCTATACTCACAGCTTTATCCCAGTGGACAAGTCATACATCCTGACCAAAGAAACCGCCCAAAGATGGCCCCATCTCAAACACTTAGCGGACAGACTGTCACCTCTCCAAGACTGTGATGTAGGTATGCTGATAGGCTATAACTGTCCATCTGCATTAGCCCCTCTTGAAGTTGTCATAGGCATCGTCATTATGTCGACGACGAACTAACCAGTGTCATGTCTGTAGAAGGAGCCAAGAGACAGATGGCAGATGCTCAGAAGTCGTGCAAGGAAGGAGAATTAAGACTTTAAAAATTCAACTCAAATCAAAAGGAAGTCTTGGATTGCGTGGATCCTTCAGAAGCACTAAGCATTGAACCTGTAAAACTAAGGAAGGAAGTCAGTCAGCCAGAGCACACACTCGGCCTTCAATGGTTAATAGACGACGAAGACACCTTCAGCATAGATGCCACACGGAAGGATCAGTCTGCAACCCTCAGAGCATAGACTGTATATAAAAATGGACGTAGTATCTGTGACGTCACCCGTTGGTTTCTGAAGAGCAGTTTTAAAGCCCGAATTGGGCGAAGCTGGCCGTCGCCATCTTGGCACCGCGTGTCACTCCCGGATAACCATAAATGGGCAAAGAGGCAGGTCGTGGGTGGAGCTGAGCTGATGTGTTGCTGAAACCACTCCCGCCTAGCTCGACATGACCGAGTTAGCTCATGCTAAGGAGCTAGTGCTATATGCTACTCTGCTTTAGCAGAGGTAGCTTCTAAACCCCCGGTGCTGTACGGTGGAGGTTGGAACCTGTGGCCGTTTTGTTACCAGTTTATGGTCGTCAGCTCATCAAGGTAAGACACCGGAAAATATTAAAATAACTCACATATCTGTTATTGACATTATACTTCACAAGGTTTTAAATGCTTTATAATATATAAATGGGGTAACATTATTTTGCACAACTAACGTTAGATTTTGTTGAGACCAACGTTAACAGTTAACTATGAATCAGTTATTAATTACGTTAAAGTTTACTTACAGCTCAAACGAGCAATTAGAAGCAAATCAATTAACCCTTTTACATAACGGTAGTTACGAGTCTTTTATTTGGACGTCACATCAGTATGTCTTGTAATAAACGTAATAAGCTAGCGGTAGAGTCCTTAGTTACATGATGGAAGCTGTATAACTTGTAAAACGTTAGCCATGGCTGTTATCACATTAATTAATTCCCCACACCGCTATATTGAGTAACGCTGTTGCTGTCGGCAGGGCTGTGTGGGATTATTGTCTGGAATAGGACACTTGAGAGAGAGAGAAAGGTACTTTTTAAATTTGTCACAAGATTCTTGTTGAGGATCTGATGCCTCCACGCCTGCTTTAACTGTAACGTTACTAGAACAACTTGGCTAGTGGACATTTGACAGCTGATATAAAATTGTCTGTCTTGAGAGGACAACACAGAAACATTTAAAGACCGTCTCCATTGTTCCATTTCTCCCACTTATGTGACATAATAGTGCTGCCAACATTAAAACACTGAAGCATCTTTTAGAAGAGCATCTCAAAAAATTAGAATACTGACGAAAAGTTCATTATGAGCATCAGAACCAGACTGAGAGATTAAAGTCTTCAGAAACCTTTGCAGGTGTTTTGAGTTAATTAGCTGATTAGAGAGCTATTCTCCAGTTTACATTTCTGTATAATCTATAATACAGAAATTTATTTTTATTCTAAAATGTTTATACATTTTGAGATACTGGAGTTTTTATTTCCATAAGCTGTAAACCGTACTCAAGATGAAAACAAAAATGGGTTTGAAATGCTTCAGTTTGTGTAATGAATCTAGAATATATCAGAGATTCACTTTTTGAATAGAATTACGTTATAAATTTACTTCACCACAATATTCTATTAATTAAAGACTCATCTGTATTGTTTACTTTATATTTTTCATCACCTGAAGCATTTATTACACATTTTCCTCCTAGAGTCACACTATGGATCAGATGTCCCACCTGGTGTCAGAGAGCTGCAGAGTCCTGGAAGCCTTGTTATTGTCGCGGAAGTCTGTATCTGTTGCCGTGGACTGATGTGGAAAGGCATTCTCTCTTTCTGTTTACTTTGAGTTTTAAATATTGTCCATACTTGTGTTATAGGTCCATTTAAAAAAAATATATGGTTAATGGTTCACATTGTAATAAATTCTATATATATTAGCACTCCCTGTCTTTACTACTTACTGAAAAGCTAATCGTATACCACAGATAAAACATGAAACATTAAAACTGAACTCTTGCTGAAGAACATCAGTCTAGGATGTTGAAAAGTGAAAATACTCCCAACATGTTTCACATGAAATGTTTAAAAGTAATTATGCAGTGTATTTCTGTGTGTGCAGGAGTATTTTTACTTTCTACCTTATACTTCAAGATAAATAAGGAGCCAGTACCTCCTACAGGGCCTCAAAACTATTCAGTGTGCAGACAATTCTTTGTTTTTCCACTACAGAGTAACTTCTCAGTCAATGTTACATTTGTCTCTTAAAGAAATGTCAAAATAAAACAGTATATAACATCAACCTTTCATTTTTTACTTTCTACTTACATATGTAAATGTAAGCCTATAAATAACATCTTAATATTTTCATTTACAGCTGTTAACTATAATATGTTAAATAGTTATAATTAAAATATAAAACTGATGAATGAAGAATGATTTTATGTATAATTAGTTTGATACACTTTATAACAAAGTATTCCTAATACAAAAGCAATAGTTTAATAAATTAAACTTGTCTTGCATTCATGAAAACATCAATATTACAAGGTTACAAATGTAAAAGTAGTTTTGTATGACTTGAAATGTGTTGAGAGTTATTATAATGATAGAATCTGTTGATAAGAACCCAGTGTCATAATTTCACATCAGTAGTGTTCAGGCGTTGTGAGTAAAAAGAAAAGCAGGAGCTGAAGAGCTGGACACAGCTAATCACATCTGAGGGGTTCTGCAATCAGCTCCTCTGGCACCTGTAAAGACAACAATGGGTAGACAGTTAAGCAGCTTCTTGCAAAGAGCCATAAAGCTACTGAACTCTGAGATCACCTCAGCATGATAACCTCTCTGGCATGTGACAGTAATTAGGGGCGGCAATGTGAAATACAGTTTCCTAATATGTGCAATATACGTTTTTCTGCTGGACACTGTGCAATAATAACTACACAAGTCAGATCTTATTGAACATTTATTATAAGGATCTTATTTTATATTTCTTATTGAACTGTACTACTACTACTTTTTTGGCAAATGCTAATGCACCAAACAAACTCAGAGGCGGCTCACACACACCTAATTTCTCGCCTTAACTAACCCATTGCCCTAGTTACAGCCCAGCTACCTGTCTGCAGGCATAACGCGCATTATATGCTGACAAAAAAGGTGGATGAAACTCTCTGCAGGTAGCCTACAACAGCTGTTCAGCCGAATTATGCATCCACCTCTTAAGCTCCTTATCAGAAACGTCGCTGATCAAACGCCGTTATCACATCAGATTGTTTGCTGAGGGAATGCTACATCTACTGAGTGTATTAACTTACTGATGACTCTAAACTGCCTATGTACTTCGAATCAATCATCCCCACTCATGAACCCCACAAAGAATAGTATAACGTTATTGTTTTAAACAGTAACGTTACACTTGGAGGTGCACAGTGCTCCTCGGTGTGACAGTTTCAGGCAGAACTCCGCAGCCGCTCCCCCCTCGGCTCTCTGCCTTTAAACCCTTCGTGTCCATCAGGATCAGGTACAGCCACTTATAATAGTATCTGACTCGTATCTAACTGAACAGTGATTCCGTTACAGGACGTAGCTAAATCTCACATCGCCCGTTAGTAAAAGTTACTGTTAACATAATGTCAGCTAACTGAGAGCTGAGCCTTTACTTACAACTTCACACAGACGATTTTCTTCAAAACATTATCACCCTAATGTCTAATACTACGGTTAATCTAATAATGTTACATTTTGGCTTCTCTCTTCTTGCTGACTTAAGTCTTTGACTCATTAAAAGCTGCGGTTAGAACACACTAACTTACTTACTTACACTAACTTAGCAGCTTGGGGCTGCTCGTATCTGGCTAATTAGCGTAACGAGCTAACGTTAAGCTAACAAGCTATATGCTGACAGCGATACCTGTTAAATGTTAACACATAAATAAAATACAGGAATTTCACTCACCAAGTAGAACACTACAGCACATACATTATATGCATTCAAGTGGTCTAACTTTAAGGCAGTTAAATGTGATGCAGGAAATTCTGTATAATTCAGTCAGAGTACTTGTATATTATAGCAGAATTTGGTGGGACTGTAACGGTCTGCTTGGAGTCCTTTTAAGGTGCACTGATTTCAATGATTGTGAACATATTTTTTTCTCCCGACACGCAGTTAACTCATGACTGTGAGGTTACAACTCACGACCCAAAAAGGAGAACAACAAACGCACGTGTGCACATTTTCAGCTGAGGACTGCCTCTGGCTAGCCTTCAACTTAACAGTCAATCATGATTTCAGTTAACTGCTAAAGTTGCTGTTACTGTTACCTTGTCTGTGGTCCGCTGGCAGAACACCTTTTTGTTCAGCTGCCGTCGTGCTGTTGCCAAGGCGACATAAGTTTCGTTTGGACGGACTGTGACACAGACAGAGCTGTTGTTTTCTTTAGCATGAAATAATAACATACTTTAGACACTTTCTTCTTTGTGTTCTTTTTGTTCACTGTAAACACACTCAGTATTTCCTGAGAGTACTGATAATATGTGAAAAACAATCAGCTTCCTATGGCTAACCCCCTGCTCCCCAAAAAGCATGTTGCATTGGCCGGGAATCGAACCCGGGCCTCCCGCGTGGCAGGCGAGAATTCTACCACTGAACCACCAATGCTTATATTGATGTGGCGCTCCCACAACAGCACAGACTCCACTTAACCCTTGTGTTTTCTTCCCGTCAACCATGCACTTTTTGTCCTCCCAGGTCAAAATTGACCCGGTCTGGTTTGCCTGGTTTTAAAGCAACCAGTTTAACTTATCACCCAATTCTGTGTTACACCTTCTTAGCCAACTCCATTCTAACTCATTACCACTATTTTTACACTTCTTGATGGAATTTCTGGTCAATATGTCTCATTTTTATGAAACTATACCAAATTTATAAGCTAAAAAAAGCAGAAATTATGAATTCTTTTGACTAATAGTTAAGATCAGAGGACTATATGTTGATGGATTATCACAGACTAGTATATGTCAAAGTTTGGTCTGGATAGTGTTTTGAAACCATTTCATTACTTTTAATGGCGGCAAATAATCCCACTTGTTGTCCTTATGGGTCAAAATTGACCCGGTCTGGTTTGTCTGTTTATAAAGCATAATGTAAAAATTATCACCCATTTCTCTGTTACACCTTCTTTACCAGCTTCATTCCAACTCATTACCACTAGTTTTACACTTCTTCTTGGAATTCATGGTCAATCAATCTCATTTATCTTATTTTTTAGTTAAAAAATGCAGAAACTCTAAGTTATCTTGACTAATAGTATAAATCAGAGGACTATATGTTGATGGACTATCACAGACTGGTATATGTCAAAGTTGAGTCAGGATACTGTTTTAGAAGCATTGCATTATTTTTAATGGCAGCACATATACACACCTGTTGTCCTTATGGGTCAAAACTGACCCGGTCTGGTTTGCCTGTTTCTAAAGCATAATGTAAAAAATGATCTCCCAGTTCTGTGTTACACAATGTCAGCAAACTTTATTTCAGCTCATCACCAATTCATTTTACACTTCAATAAACCTCATTTACATTAAATTTTAAAATTTTTTAGGAAACCAGCAAAAATTATTATTTATTTTGGATAATCACAGACCGATATATATTCCTAGGTCAACATTTGATGGAATTTTATTCACAAATAACAGAGTAAACAAAGAGCTAGATAAATTCATTTACATAGAACAGTCAACATTTATTTCTAAAACTTAAAACTTTAGTTTCAACATTTGAAAACTTGTATAATATACATGTTTATTACTTACATGTGTAAGTGCAGTTGTGTGTCTCTGTGTGAATGTGCTATCATTTGCATGATGGGCAGTGTGTGGTGGTAATGGCATGTTTTTTGCAAATGTTTGCCATGCAATTTTGGCACCTGATGCTGGTTTTGAGATCACTCTTGCCAGGGCAGAATCGGCACCTCTTCCTTGTGGCTGCAGCTGGGTTAGTAGGAGCTGCTGCGGAGGTAGAGGGTCCATCCGTCTGGATTTCCACAACCAAGCTTGCAGATGCTGGCGCGCGGGGAAGAACCTGGCGTCTTTTGATTAGAGGCATCACCAGTTCTCTCCCAAGCTCCTCAAGGAACAGCCTCCTCCTGTGGCACTTCCCCTGATTGTATGTTGGGTTGATCTCAGTCCACAGTACAAATGAATTGTAGGCAGACACGTCTAGTATGTTATAAAAGACCACCAGGGGCCAACGGGCTGTCTTCCTCTTACATGTGTACACACTTGTAACCTGCAACAAAAGAAACAAATACATAATTCAAAATTGACACTACACTATATTTTATTACACATAATGCAATGAATTGGACTTTGCATGAATGACAATAAATATTGCATGAAAAAAGTGAAATACCTTGTCAAGGTTGTCCACTCCCCCTTTGTTGTGGTTGTAGTCAAGGATGACTTGGGGCTTTTTGTCTTCCCTGGCGCTGACAGCAGTATCCCGATGAAGAGTGCTCATCAGAAGCACATTTCTTCCTTTTTTGGGACAATAGGACACAATAGTATGTGTCTCAGAGAACGCAAACTTGGAAGAATATCGAGCCCTGTCTTTTGTGGCAAGCAGTGCTGGTGGAAGCTCAGGTTTATTCTTCCTTACTGTTCCCACCATGGACAGCTTTCTCTTGAGCAGCTCCTGGCCAAGGGCATGTGATGTAAAAAAATTATCACAAGTGATTGTTTGTCCACGGAGACCTTCTGCCATCTCAAGAACCACACGCTTGCCCTGGTTTTTTTCTGGCTGTCCATCAGCAGGTTTGCCAGTGTACACTTGCATGTTGAATGCATAGCTGGTCCTGGCATCGCACGCTGTCCAGATCTTTATGCCATATTTCCCAGGTTTATTAGGCATGTATTGCTTGAAGGCACAGCGACCTCTGAAGGGGACCAGGCGCTCATCCACAGTCACATCAGCTCCCGGGTTGTACATCTGCTGCAGGAGACACACCCACTTGTCCCATACATCACGAATGGCAGCGAGTTTGTCACGTGCACGGCGTGCTGTTCTTGTATCTCGATCGTCGAACCGAATGACCCTTGAGATAATGTGGAACATTTTGAGGGGCATTGTGGCCCCAAAAATTGCTCGACCAGACTGGGCATGCCACAAACTGGCCGTGGATTCTTTATTGGATCGATATACTCCAGCGAGAATCAACAGACCTAAGTATGCCTGGAGAGCTATCCCATCCATCTCTCTCCACTTATTGCCATAAACACGACGCCCCTCCTTGTTGGTCATGTTCAGCACAATTTTTTCAACTTGGTCTGGCAGAAACAGTTGAAAAGCAGACGTTATACTATCAACGCGAGCCACTGCGTACCTTGTTGGACCCCTGGGGCTCCTCTCTCTCTCTGCTACCAACATGCGACGTCTGTCACTAGGAGGGATGGAAGACCACAGCAAACTTCCATCTTTTGACTGGAAACACTCTTCCATCTGAGGTTCCTCTTCCTCATCACTTGATTCTTCCTCATCTGTTGAAGCATTATTCTCATTTTCTTCACAATTGTCCTCTTCCTCTGATACATCCTCTTCTTCTTCTTCTTCTTCAGATTCCTCCTGGTCTCTCAACTCCTCATCAGGGTTCCAAAGTAATTCAAGAGCCTCTGTCAAATTATAGCGTCTCTTCATTGTGCTTCCCCCGTCTGCATCTCAGACTAAAATGGGTAAAAGGCTGCAAAAGCTCAGTCTTTATAAGCTGTTTTTGTTTTGAAAGGCATTTCAAAGGTGTGAAAAGAAAAAGTTTACATGTACTGTAGCTTAGAAGTTTTAGTTTTATAGCTTTGAAGTTTTGTGTGTGGGGGCGTGTGTGTGTGTGTGTGTGGGGGGGGTTTGTGGGGTTGGGTGTGTGTTTGTGTGTGTGGGGGGGGGTTTGTGGGGTTGGGTGTGTGTTTGTGTGTGTGGGGGGGAGTGTGGGTGTGTGTTTGTGTGTGTGTGTCTGTGTGTGGGGTTGGGTGTGTGTGTGGGGGGGGGAGTGTGTGTGTGTGTGTGTGTGTGTGGGGGGGGGTTTCGCAGGTGTTCATCTGCTGAAAACCAAAACACCGTGACTAATTGACCCTTTTGCAACACCGGGTCAAATCTGACCCGGGAAGACCAAAAATTGAATAAATTTGAAAAAAATACCCACAATTCAGTGAAAGTAGTGATCATTTTGTTTTTTGTTTAGAGCATAGTGTGGAAGCACCCATGTTATTTTGGTGTAATTTCATGAAATAAAACCATATTTTTCATACAAAAGAATTTCAAAACGGGTCAAATTTGACCCGAAGACAACACAAGGGTTAACATCTGAAAAGTTATGTGTTCACTGTATTTTGATTTCTATGATATTTCATATTTTTCTGAGTCAGGTCCTTACCATGTTTATCAGCCACTCCGTTTCCCAAATATTTTTTGATAAATAGCTTAAATCTGTGCTCAAAAAAGTTGCTTAACTGTTATCATATATTTTTCTTAGGTATATCTCTCCTGTATGTGTCTCTGTCTGTGTAATGACCAGTTTGTCTTTCTAGTTAAATTAGCTAACTAAGTTGTAGTTAGCTAACCTTTTTACCTTTTAAAAATATGTTATTTAAAAAAGAATTAATTCAGAACAGTAATCAAATTTAATATTTTATCATTAACTAACTGTTCAAGCATCAAAAGTAAAGTCATTACACTACTCCCTAAAAGTGTGTTGCATTGGCCGGGAATCGAACCCGGGCCTCCCGCGTGGCAGGCGAGAATTCTACCACTGAACCACCAATGCTTACATGCCTCTATTTTTAAAGTCAGCGAACAGAACCGAGAGGTGGCAGTGGAGCTTACTCTAGTTAACCACAACTACACTATTACTGTAAGTAGCAATAAAACCTCCGCAAGTAATTAATACATAAGCAAGTTAGTGGCATGGTGCTAATCAAAGTTAGAAAGATGGAACGATCTGTTTGTGAAAAGCCATAGCCGACATACGGCGGCATCCTTGTTCCTGTAAAGCCAGACTGCTATGTGAAAGCACAGGACATTCTTTTTACGTTGCTCTCCATATGAAAGCAGCTACACTCTCACTCTCCCGTCTTTCCATCCCAACTCCTGTCCCCTGTCCCCTAATGTCCACCCCTTACAAATCTACTCCAATCAAACACAAGCAAAGTACAGTAAATTATTTTAAGTCGTAGAAAACAACATTTTCATTTGTAAACTTTTAAAATTTATGTTTTCATGAATGCAGTATATTTGAATTTGTTGAACTGCTTGTTTCACCTGTTTAACCCAAAAATCTATTGATCGACTCCAGACTGTCCAGAACTCAGCTGCCAGGCTTTTAACCAGAACAAAGAAATATGACCACATTACTCCTATTTTAGCTGCATTACACTGGCTCCCAGTATGTTTTAGAATTGACTTTAAAATTTTATTGATTACTTTTAAAGCTCTTAGTCAGTTGAAAAGAACATCTCCTCGTTAGTATAGTGGTAAGTATCCCCGCCTGTCACGCGGGAGACCGGGGTTCGATTCCCCGACGGGGAGTGTGCATCTCTTTAATTTTCCCCCTCTTTGCTATATAAAAACCAGTATTGTATATAATCCTACTGATTATAAACACATATACAAAATGCACTCCTATTTCTTGCTGAACTGGATGTAAGAAAAACATCATGGAAAAGGATAGTACAATAACACAAAAGGATGTTGCATTGGCCGGGAATCGAACCCGGGCCTCCCGCGTGGCAGGCGAGAATTCTACCACTGAACCACCAATGCTCACATGAAGATAATTCTGGTAACAAAATTAAAAAAGTATAGTATCAAAATTCATTTTGATACTATACTCTATACAAAAGGTATTTGCTGTTTTTTTAATAACAAAATGGCAATTGTATATGTATTTCTCAATATAAAACTTGTTGAAATGGTTTCAGTGTGTGTATCAGTACGATTTAATATTTTTTGGCACATTTTTACAATACTGTGGTAATACTGATAACCGTGATAATTTTGGTCACATCGTGATATGAAATTTTCAAACCGTTTCATCCCTACTTGAGCTTTAAATATAATTCAACTGAACAATAAAGTAGAGATGTCTATGAAGATTCTCAGTCATCCAGGTCATAGTTATCCAACGAAGGTTAAAATTAAGGGGAACTGGACTTGGTTGAAGATACTGGAAGACGTTTCGTCCCTCATCCAAAGGACTTCTTCAGTTCTGACTGACTGGCAGGGAAACTCAGCTATTTAACCTCAGTGGGGTCGTTGGCCCGGGTCATCGATACCGCTGGTTCGTTAGTGTTCCTTGTTGCTGTGACGACAGTCGTTACAGTCGTTAAGACTACCTGTGGCCAAGACTGAACGACCATCGTTGGTATCTTCACCTGAGGCCAATAGGACCGCACACCCAAACACAAGAAAAGCAATCTAGTGTATGCGGTCCAATGCAGTGAGGAATGCACAGACCTGTATATTGGGGAGACTAAACAACCACTACACAAACGCATGGCTCAACACAGAAGGGCCAACTCCTCAGGTCAAGACTCTGCAGTCTACTTACATCTGAAGGACAGAGGACACTCGTTTGAGGACCACCAGGTGCACATTTTAGACAGAGAAGATGGATGGTTTGAAAGAGGTGTCAAGGAAGCCATCTACACCAGGGTCGAGAAGCCGTCATTGAACAGGGGAGGGGGTCTACGCCACCACTTATCCCCCACTTACAATGCTGTCCTTTCATCACTTCCCAGGAAACTCAACAAACGTAACCTATTGGCCTCAGGTGAAGATACCAACGATGGTCGTTCAGTCTTGGCCACAGGTAGTCTTAACGACTGTAACGACTGTCGTCACAGCAACAAGGAACACTAACGAACCAGCGGTATCGATGACCCGGGCCAACGACCCCACTGAGGTTAAATAGCTGAGTTTCCCTGCCAGTCAGTCAGAACTGAAGAAGTCCTTTGGATGAGGGACGAAACGTCTTCCAGTATCTTCAACCAAGTCCAGTTCCCCTTGATTTTAACCTTCGTTGGATAATGTTGAGTTTTAAAAAGTTAAAACAAACTTAATGTACTCCAGTGTTTCAGTGCTTTCCTTCAAATGTAAACCTGCAGGATTTTAGGCCAAACGATTGCATTAGAATGTTGATTAAACCATTGTTTGTATCCTCTTTGTAATGTAAAGAAGACGGACACCTCTTTGTTTAGTGCCAGAAGGACAGTTTTTTGACTGTTTCATTGACACTTAAGATAGGGTGTCAACCATTTTGTAGACAAGCCCTGTTGTTCTCCATGATTAGTTTAGAGCAAAAGACTGTTTATTCCTGTAGATTGAAGGGGGTTTCACGTCTGGGAATTGGCGCTCTTTTGTTCGACCAAAAGTAACATAGAGCAGTAAGGTACACCCTTCCTAATTGGGTGATGAAGAAGTGACCAAACGACCAATGGCTATGGTCCTGGGCCATTTGGAGGAAAAGACCCGTCTACATACCTGGAGGATATTAACAATTCATTTTGCGAGAATCAGGACTGTAAGCTGTAAATCTGAAAAGAGGAACAACTTTCCAGTCCACTGCAGTGTTTTTGTTTTGTTGTTTGTTCTGTAATGCCATCTTTTATTCACCTATTTTTTTATTAAATTTTCTTGTTAATTTTCATTGAACTGAGCCTCTCCTTTCTCAAAATCTGAAAAAACGCAACAATTGGTGACCCCGACGTGATTTTGAGAAAAGAAGGACAGGACAAAACTTCAGCCGGAGAAGGACGACTGCCTGATTCTCACACTGGCCCAAATATCGAAAGGTAAGAACAGAGACCTGTTTTATCAAAACTCTGTATAGGTTATATAGGAGATTTTAGGTGTGAGAATCAAGCAGCGTCTACTCCGTAAGTCCGTTAATATTTTAAAGTGATTTAAAGTGAAAATACCGATTGTTAAATATCATTCGAGATGGCAATATAGAACAATAGTATGTTATTGTTTGTCTGAAGCTTAAAAGCCTGTATGAAGGTCCATGGTATGTTATTGTTTGTCTGAAGCTTAAAAGCCTGTATGAAGGTCCATGGTATGTTATTGGTTATTTAAAGATTAAAAGCCTGTATGAAGGTCCATGGTAAATAGTGCACATTAGAAGTCCGTGGCGGACGGCCTGGTTAGATCCAGTTAAATTTTAAATAGAAAGACCGTGGGGCCGGCGACAGAGACAGTCTCTGTGAGGCACGAAGGCGGGAATAAGTCTTTTTGAAAAAGCCAGGGTGAAGCCCTGTGAGGGAGTAGGGGTTGGTAAACGGGAAGCGCGGTGACGACGGCTTCTTAGTCCCATACAAAGACCTCTCATTTTCTGCCTTTGTGACCCTTGAGGTAAAAAATAAAACCTGTATGTAGGTCGAGAATTCTCTGAATTTTTCGGAGTCTTTTCGGGAGTATAGAAAACAGTAGCGCCGTCTACCTATTTTTGCGCTACCTAGAGTTTCGAAAATTCAGGGTTTTTTCGGGGGTACAGAAGGGAGAAGCGCAGTCTTGTTCCTTTTGTATCGCCTAGTATTAAGTGTGAAAAACCTGTATGAAGGTTCGGTACCTTCCGAGGTCCGAGGTCACAAGAGTGAGCCTAGTATTGTGTGTGAAAATAGGTATCAATTGAATATAGGTCTGTACATACTGTAAATAAGTAAAATCTTTGTAAATAAGGATTGTTTGCATTGAAATCAGGAGTCAAAAGGAGTAAAACAAAGCAGTGTTTCAAAAAACTGTTTTGTGGTGACTGAGGAATGTTTTTTGTTTGTTTGTTTGTTTGTGTTTTGAAAAAACTTTGTTGAGATATTGGTTGATACAGATATTCAACTCTTATGACTCTCTCACGACTGCTTCTGAGGTGAATTAAGTTGAAATCAATCAGTACCTTGAGTTCTATTGTTATTTTATTTTTGCATAAGGTAAAAAAAAAAAAAAAAAAAAACGGACACATGTTTTTGAAAGGTTGAGCCCTTGCTGCAGGGTCCCACTCCATGGCAGTTGTCACATGTTTATTCTCTCTCTCTCTAGCTCTAAAACTGTCCTATCTTAAGAAATATTAAATATATACCTATGGAGGTATGCACTATGACTAGTTTCCAGATGTTTTCCGTATAGAGTTTTAAAGAGTTTTTGTGAAGTAATAAGTGTTTGTTTTAAACATTATGTTCCACTATAGAAGGAAAATATCTGGATGCGTATGAGATGATAAATACAGAAAACTCTGTGATAAACTCATTTCAGTGTCTAGCATACACAATTGTAAACAAAAACGAATGCACAATCTTGCAAATGTCATAGGACTGAGAGAGTTTCTCCAGAGTTAGTGTGTGTTTGATAAAATCTGTCAGTATTACAAATATGGGAAGATCAGAGTGATTGTGTGAATGAAAAACCATTGCAAGTAAAAGCAAGTCTGTTCCTGTGAGTCAGTATAAAACATGGGGAGCAAATTGGGGAAACTTAATTCTTGCCTGACACTCTTTCAGGTCCAGATAAATTAACGGCAGAAAAATGGGGAAAAGGTGTGGTTGTTGATGTTGGCCTATCCCGGGCACACTAAATACAGATTGTTTTAGGAAGGTGTAGAAAATATGTTGAAAAACCATAAGCTACCAGTCTTTTGCCATTAAAAAGAGACAACTCTTTCACACAGAACAATTAGGCCTAGGCTACTGATCCCCTGCTGACCAAATCCAGAAAGATGCTGACACACAGGTGAGGGGACTGTGCCCTGACCTGACGACTGTTTCCCCAGTTCACACAACAGTGACTGAAGTAAGACTATATGGGGAGAAGACTCAAACTAACTGTCCCAAGAAGCTTCTTTTTCATTTGCAGCCCTCGAATACTGGCTCAGGAGAAATGGTGAAGAGGGGATGCACAGCTATTGCAGATGGTAACAGAGTGACATCTCCAAATCCCCTGCCGCAACTGACGGGAGGGCAGGAACACGCCCACTGGGATTCAAAAGGGTTTTTGGACAGATCATGGGCAGCTGGATGAAATAATACAAGTTGCAGAAGAACCACATAACCCTAAAAGGATTGATGGTGAGGGTTACATCAAAGAGACAGCCAAGTGAAAAAAGGGGACATGGTGACAGAAAGAGGGAGATGGAAAACACACTTTGAACAGAACAATACAAGCAGAACAGGAAGTGTCGGCACCGGAACGCCAATGACAAGACCTGTTCCTCCTTCCTTCTCCACCCCGGATCAAGGACAAATGTGTAGAGAGAATGAGTGCACTGGAGATGGAGCCTTCAGGCTCAGGGAGGAAGCCACAATGCTGGGAAGTGAAAGACAGAGACTGAGGCAGAGACAAACAGAAGAGGAGAAGAGAAAGATGAAGAGTAAGAAAAAGCCTAGAAAACATAGGACTGGTTATGACAGTGAAGGACAAGAAGAATGTGAAGAAGAAAATGAAAGGAAGAAGAAGGGATGTGTGACACATCCAGAGAGGAAGGAAAAAGGTGAGGACACCTCCAGGGATTCTTCTGAGTCAGAAGAAGAGGACAACAAAACATGCATACTCAGACTAAGGGGCAAAGTAAAGGTTGCCCTGCCCACCACCACATCTGAAGGAGATAACAAAACAGAGGGAGGAGCATGCCATCCAACTACTCCCAGATGCCAATGACTGCCTGGGAAGAGGAACAAGGTCCAGAAGAATCCTGGCCACACGCACCATCTGGGGGCCTCACTGTGCAGTTTCCAGGGGTCCAGTCAGTACAAAAATAGGATGCAGCAGAAAGAAGCACATAGGCCTAGACACAGACCCACACGTAGACACCACTGATGGGAGGGATAAACCAGTATTTACATAAACACCCTAGTCTGATTTCTTGTAGACTCAGAAGCAGAAGTTTCATTGATTAAATCTAAAGTGCTCCATAATGCTCATAGAACATGAATTTCTCATTCCTGACACAGATGTTGAAACAGCCATCAAACCTATTTACATGTAGACACAGATATTTTACACACATTTATTTTTTAGGGAAAAGAAAATACCAGTTGTGAAATGCTCTTCTTACACCATGTAAACTCCCCCATCCTGCCTCTAGAGAAAAGGGGGCTGCTGGTAGTTTTTCAAGATCTTAGGGAAATAAATAAATGACCTTATGCGGTAAAGCTATTGTCGTGGGTTCTAACAGCTCCATGTTGATTTTCTGTGATTGATTCAGCAAAATGCACATTTAAGCATTAAGTTCATCCTGACTCAAGATTCAGTCTTGTCTTCACATTTTTGCAATGGGTGATGATTATATTTGTTTGTATCTCCCAAAACAGGAGATTGTCAAAGTGACACAGTGTCACTATTAGGTTCTTAGCAGGGAACTGTCATAAGGATTTTTCAAATGATTAGGTGGATTTCGTTCCAAAAGGGGTGCGTTTTTAATTTCATCACAAATCAGGTACAGGAAATCTAGGATTTTCCAAAGACCACAATACTTGGCTCTAGCAGGCTAGTGCCTTTCATGGATTATAATTTTTCCTTTGTGGAGATCTCCACCCCAGACATGGGGAAACTGCTGGCCATTGACTGATTCTTATTTTTTGATTTTGAACTGCTAGGCATACACATTTTTCACTGACTTAAAAGCATTTTGACCAACTTTTGACTGACTTTAATGACTGGAAGCAGGATTCTGTCCAGCTCTTCTTTTGTTTCAGACTGTTTGACGCAGCTAAATCTTTCTAACCTTAACTCTGCTTTTTGTTTTGTAGATGGAGTCAGTGCGGGCAGCTATGTGACTTGATTTGTAGCATATGGTTCTTTGTCACCCTAGGAACAACACAGTATGCATTTTGATTCCCAGCATGCATTAAAATGGCCTTTTCTCTTCTACAGGTCCGGCTCACCAAGAATTTCTAATCAACCGATTGTTTGCATTCTTTCCTCACCTGCCTTCTACTGCTGTATACAAATGGTAGGCCCATACAGGTTTCTAACGACCCGGTGATGCTGCCCTGCTTTATTCTAACTGCATATGCTTTCTACTGTATTCTTTCCCTTTAAAGATGTCTCCTAGCATTGATACATGGTTCTTCACCATGTATCAAAAGGAGGGATGGGGAATTGTAAATATTATGGTGCGCACCAAGGGTTTTGGGTTTCTAATTTAATAATTTTTTTTGAGTGGTGTGTTGAAAATGTTGTGTTTAATTGTTGAAACTAATCGACTAACAAAACTAATGAACTAATGCCCCACAACATCCAGACAGGCAGCGAAAGCAGTGAGACCATCACCAGACAGTTAAGATCATCCCAGGTGATACGGCCAACTTCAACTGCCGCCAGGGTAGTTGAGAGGGACACATGGGTCCATGCATCACAGTGCGAAGTGTTTCCCCAGCGAGGATCCCCTCCAACAACACAGACAATGGCTGCAGTGCTCACCACCGTCCTGGTCAGCACAGCTAGGGTACTCCAACACCAGCTCAACAAGATGGCAGACGTTTTTCTACAAGGAGCTCTCAACAAACAGACTCCACTAGTACTCATATAACCACAACACTGACACAGATTATAGATTCATTTGCACTCACCAGTCGAACTGATGTCATTTACACTGATTTTCACATTCACACTGTTTCACACAAGGAAGGAAAATAACTGTCATAACCAGTGAAGATGCAAGAAGAGGATGCAGAGGGGAGACGTAACATTGGCATGTTATCAACGCAGGAGGAAGAGGACATAAGAAGAGGGATTCAGAAAAACCACAAGTAAACCATGCAACCAAGAGAACACCACCTTACACATTGCACACCCACTCAAGCCCCCTCCCAATCAATAGAGGAGGTTAGAACTGATTTGGCCACGCTGTGAACATGAATTAGGATTATACACAGCAGATCCAGAAATGTTGACTCTGGTAGTAGAAAACTCAGTCATTCTCTATTTATATTTTATTTTTTGTTTGTTTTCTTTTTCCTTCCACATTTACCTCATTTGTTTTGAATCACAGTTTCACCAGCAAGACAAAAATGGAATTCAAGGGAGGGAATAAATTTAGGCACCTAGAGTTTTGTGGGATAAAGGGAACAATATCAACTTTAGCCGTAATCATTTCTCTAGTTATAACAATAATCCTATAGTCTCATCTCCAGAAAATAGGTCAACCACAGAACCCATTCAGCCCATTAATACTGCACACATAATAAACTTTATCCCACCAAACAGTACAAATTTCACAAAAGATTTAGAAGACCCAGGAAGATTGCTCAACCCATGGAAGACGAAGAGTCAGATAGTGAGGTCAGAGAAGAGGAAGATGATTTCTTTGCTTAAATCATGATTTGATTTTACAACTTCTGACATTTCAATGACATAATTGTAGATATGCTAAGTCTAATAGTGATTTCACACCAATAAATGGTGTGAAAGGAGGGATTGTTGAGTTTTAAAAAGTTAAAACAAACTTAATGTACTCCAGTGTTTCAGTGTTTTTCTTCAAATGTAAACCTGCAGGATTTTAGGCCAAACGATTGCATTAGAATGTTGATTAAACCATTGTTTGTATCCTCTTTGTAATGTAAAGAAGACGGACACCTCTTTGTTTAGTGCCAGAAGGACAGTTTTTTGACTGTTTCATTGACACTTAAGATAGGGTGTCAACCATTTTGTAGACAAGCCCTGTTGTTCTCCATGATTAGTTTAGAGCAAAAGACTGTTTATTCCTGTAGATTGAAGGGGGTTTTACGTCTGGGAATTGGCGCTCTTTTGTTCGACCAAAAGTAACATAGAGCAGTAAGGTACACCCTTCCTAATTGGGTGACGAAGAAGTGACCAAACGACCAATGGCTATGGTCCTGGGCCATTTGGAGGAAAAGACCCGCCTACATACCTGGAGGATATTAACAATTCATTTTGCGAGAATCAGGACTGTAAGCTGTAAATCTGAAAAGAGGAACAACTTTCCAGTCCACTGCAGTGTTTTTGTTTTGTTGTTTGTTCTGTAATGCCATCTTTTATTCACCTATTTTTTTATTAAATTTTCTTGTTAATTTTCATTGAACTGAGCCTCTCCTTTCTCAAAATCTGAAAAAACGCAACAATAACAAAGTAGAGGTGGCTTTACTTTTCTCAATTTTGTGTTCCTTTATGTTTGTCATAGACAACTTTGAAAAACTGGTTTTATCTGTAACTTTCAGTCATCTCGGCTCAAGCTGAATTAAACATGAGTGAGCTTGGGGTTTTAGGATGGAGTGAAAGGACACCACTGCAAAGGGGTGCGCTGGATTTATAACACAAGACAAAATGTGAAAATAACTGCAAAACTGAATGTGGCACAATAAACATTTTATATTGTCTTTTTAATCGTTGGAAGCTAAAATCATAATTGAGAAAAAAACAGTTTCTTCCCAATTGCAGCGGGCCTAATCAATGTCCAGAAAATAAAAATCAGTGCGCCCAACGTGGGGCTCGAACCCACGACCCTGAGATTAAGAGTCTCATGCTCTACCGACTGAGCTAGCCGGGCTTGATAGACAAGGAAAAAGTGTGTATTTTTAAAATGTCTCATTTCATCTTCCTGAGTGTATTTCTGGTTTGCTTTTTTAACTGATAATGGGTCTAGGCGATGCTCTATCTGCATTAGCATTTGCAAGTGCTACAACAACTATGATTCTCAAAGCAAACTATATATTCCATGCATGAATAGCACACGTTACATGACATCAGCCTATACTCATGTATTTTTAGACTCTTTGCCAGGACATGCAAAGTTATTCTAACCACTTTTTTACCTACACTACAGCATACACATGCCGCATTGAAGAAAAAAAAACTAGCGGATAAAGCCTTTGTTCACGCCAGATATGCTTTCCTAAAAGACACAAAACACATGCCCCGTGTGAGGCTCGAACTCACGACCTTCAGATTATGAGACTGACGCGCTGCCTACTGCGCCAACGAGGCCTGATACAACCTCCCACAGGAAGTCCTTAAATACCCACCACCAGTTCCGTGAACTATTTTAAAAGTCATACAGTCTACGTTGAAAATTCAGCTATAGCTTTTATTCCCCACCAGAGGGAGGCAGAGTGCTTCACGCTCCCACTGAACAGCCTACAGGCTTCTGATCAAACGTTACCCTTCTGTCCGCTGCCCTGACTTATAACACTGTCCGCAATTATTACCTTTACACGGTATTAAAATTAAACAAGTCACGAAAGCAAAAAGTTGGGGTATTTGGTTGACAGTAACTCACCTAAGTCACTAATTTAAACAAGCATGTCCCAAGTCCAGACGATCTGGTAAACTCCTTCTGTGGGTCTTCTTCCTTCCTTCCGAGAATTTCTCCTTCTTACATAAACTTTTCTGGCACTATGTAAAATATGCGTAAATAGCTTCGACGACACCGAGCAGAAAGGGCCGTCCGCTGACTTCCAGACACTGAGGCGCCTTCAATTAAGCAGCAGCCAATGGAGGGAGGCCGACCACGAGCCGGCATCACGTATTGCACGCTGTGAATTGTCCCTAGCAAACATTTTGATTGAGACATTCAAATTTGATGCGTTAACAGGGTGTTTTGTGACATAAGACATTCAAATCTGAGGAAAGAAATTGCTCCAAATTTGTTCCTTGTTCTCTGCTAATCAGCCTAAAAACTCATGTGGGTGTATATAAACCAGTTATGTACAAAATTCAGACATGCACCAAGTGGTAGCCATATTTAATAATTTAATTTTACCATGCATAAACCATATAGAAAATATTTTACAGCAATGACAATTTAAAACATTTCATGATGCCAAAAAGTGTCACAGATCACTGAAGGCTCACAAGTTATCAGGTTAGTGTGATGAGTTAGTACACGGTTAAATAAAACAAAGAAAAGGAGGAATAAACAACAAAATCAACAAAAACTGTTAAAATAAAGAACACATGAAAAACCAAAACATAACCATAATGTTACAAAAATGCTGATGTTACTTTTATGGTACATCCATGTTGATTTGCAGGCCACCCAGCATGGGTGCGCTTCAATTTTACGGACCCGACCCCATCTTTTATCTGTGAAACGGATCCTGACGTGTGGTGGGTCGTCACTGCTTTGAAAAAAATGAAGCGCACTAGGAATAGGTGATCAGTGACCCCCGACAGAAATGGGGGTAGAAGTGAATAAAGAGGGGGGTAAGCATGTGTTAGCGTAGGTGGGGGTCCATGCAGAAGGCATCCGTTCTACACCTCCACCACTTTCAAATGGCACTAGTTAAAAAATCATGGCAAATACACTCCTTCATATTACACGTGATGGGCAACATCATCCCACAATTAAATCAGAGCGCGGTCAAAACATTGCAGCAAAACCTTCAATATGCAACGTTAAACCAGAACCCGATCTTCACATATCTGAAAAGAAATTGATTACAATAACTTGTATCCAGGTAAAATCTTATTTTCTCAGGGTTTTCGCTGTCTGGAAAAGGCATTGGGGGAAAAAAGTTTAAAATGACTGCAAGTGGCTTTCTTTACTTCATGTGGAGGAATTATTATTTCTTAAAATTTCACAGTTAGGTGATGTGGCGGCAGCGGGAGCCAACACAACTGAAATGACAGCAGACGTATCATCTTTCCAAACATGTCAGGGGGAGTCACGATATGGCCTCACTGCCAACAGGCACACAGAGAGAGGGAAGCACCAGTACAACTTTAACTGCAGACACTGATACGAGTAATAAACATTAGGATTGTTTTTTGTTTTATTGAGATTCTTTGCTTTAATTTTTGGGAATGGACACAATATTAAGATTTCAAATAATCTGGTGTTTAAAAACCACTCTTGGTACTGGAGCATCCCCACTCTGTGTCTGAATTACCCCACATGGGCCAATAAAGTTGACAGGCCTTGAAATTATTAGCGTGTCAAATTGCATGCGTGCAAACAATCAAGAATTTCAATTAGTATTTTGGGCACAAAATCTGCCTGTTAAAATTTCTTAACTGCAATACTGCTTTATACAAATGACAAACCAAAGCAAAGCAAAAACAACATAAAGCACGGGTTCACATATTCATATTTCAAGTCACTTATAACGTGTTCCTCTCTTCACTACCTGCCCCTGGTTTGATGTATGCCGCTTTCCAAATGATATTTAAAATAAAAACTCACAAGTTAGCGTTGTCTAATGTAGTAGCAACATTTTACTGTGTAGATGCTTTGCAATCGTGGCGATAACATGCCAATTTAAAGCCCTGATGGAGAACTAGGGAAGGCAACATTTGGCTGCAGATCATTTCCCAAACCTTCCCTTTAACTGTCTACATGACACTGAACTCTGTCAAGAGGTTTTCACCTTTAAGCGGCAAAGCAGGCAGAGGGGTTCAAGTGAGAGAACACAGGCTTGGTTCAAAGACAGTGAGAAAAAAATTTACAGCTCCATCATCACCATTATTGGATGTAATTATACAGCAGCAAAACATTTCTTAAACAAAGGTTTATCATATGACACAAAAAAGGGGGAGTGAGCTTGGCTCTTTTCTATGTTAGCAACTAAAAAACGACTTAGTTGTAAGTGTAATTACTGTATTATTACATTTAAGCCAGAGGAACAGAAGAGGGAGCTGTAAAGTAAATATTTGAAAAAGAGGAATGAAGTCACTATAGGTCCAAGTCACTTAAGTTCCATTCAGAGGAATGAGTGTTGGGTGAGTGGTTCGCTTTTTCCATTCATTCATTCATCCAGCTGTCTACTGTTCAGTCAGTGCTTCTTCCTCTCTTGAGGAGGATTAAATGGATGCCTTGACACTACTGGAAACATCCATCCATCCATCCATCGTCAACCGCTTATCCTGCTTACAGGGTCGCGGGACTACTGGAAACAAAGTGAGCAAAATAACCTCTCACCACCAGATTAGGACCACTAGGCGACACTTGCTCATATGCTTGTGAATAGCGGTGTCGTTTGGTTTCTGTGGTAAATGCTAACAATGCTAACCTATGGCTTTTAAAATGTAGCTGTGAGAAAGAAAATAAATCGTGTGGAGAAAACTGAAAACTGTCAAGGCATCCATTTAACAAAGAGGAGATATTACCATAAAGATGGATCACACAATGTTTCCCCCACATAGACAAAGTAGTGTTGTTGCAATGCTACTATTAATTTCTCCTTAGGACAGGGAACATATTTCTCTTAATCAAGAGAGATAATCATAGTGAGGCTGGAAAATGATCGAGTTCCAGTAATTAATTTTGTTCATTACAAATTTTGGATCTTCTATAGAAGCTTCAAGTCTGTTGGTTGAGTAAAGTTTTGTTAATGTCTTACATTTAAAATGTAGGGAAACAATGTGTCCTTTCCTTCATTGCTCCTTCCATCCACTCCCCACAGACAGGTAGTGTAATTAGCGTCTTCTCTAGCAAGACATCAGGTATCTTGCGTGTTTCTTCTTCATTTTCTTGTCAAACGTGAACAGGTCTTTCACAGGAGGACAAAGCATCTTCCCAATCTGTCCTTCCTTCCTTTTCCCTCCCGTCCTCTCAGAACAACACGTCTTCGTGGGTAATGAGCGTTTCCACCACAAGTCTCTGGTATCGGATATCGTTGAGCGCTGTCATGGCGTCCAGCTCTGGGGCCCTCATCAGCGTCGGGCCGAAGACAATGCCCAGGTTCTCGCTGGACATGAGATTCTCCTTCTCATGCTGGGTCACTCTGGATGGAGAGAGGGCAGAAAGCATGTGTTAGCCCGTCTGACCACAAAGCTAGAAATAAATCCTGATCAAGCCATTAAGCTGAATATCTTCAACAACTTAGCTACCACAACTTAAAAACATAAGTGATGGAGTCAAACCGCCAGACCTTTTGAGGTGAGCCATGAGGTATCGCAGCGTCTCGCAGTGAGCTGGTGGCAGCAGCTTCAAGGCCTCGTGGATAGACTCCAGCCGTTTTTCTGGGTCTGCAATCTCTGCAACACACAAACAAAAGTGAAAACAGACTGTCCCTCCATTCATTCTTGCATCTTATGCATCTTATGCAGTAAGGTACAGAAAGCGCGGAGACCTACTTGCGGCTTCTATGAAGCGCGGGTGGGCATCATATGTGATGAGGGGGATAGGCAGCTCTCTGAAGTAGAGTTTGAGGGCCCCGGTGATGATGTTGATGTCCTCGTATGCACTTGAGGAGATGTCAGCCTTCTCTCCATCTGTGGAGCAAATCAGTCAACAGAGAGAGAGATCCAGTCAAAGGGAAAAGAAACCCCAATATTATGGTGCCAGCTGAAATATCTGCCCTTTGAACTGTATTGATTTTTCACAGATCCTAAAAGGGAAATTCTTTTCTCACCTCTGTCGAAGGCCAGTTTGACATCTTCAATCAGCTCACTGAAGCCTGATATTCTGTACAAACCCTCCGACTGAAGACCTGACACAGACGAGGAGAGTTGAAGTCAACATGAATTGTTGTGAGGGTTGTGAGGAACTGATTTCACACATTTCAATCAGAAATTCACTTGTGCCAGCTTCTCGAACGAGAAACGTACTGATGTTCTTTCTCTTATATACTATTAAATTGAATATCTTTAGGTTTAGGACTGACAAAAGAATACATTTAAAGACATCACTTTGGGTACTGGGAAAACGTGACAAATAATTAATTAAGAAAACAATTGTCAGAATAATCTTCTTTGTGACAGTACTGCTGATTACTCAAATGGGTACTGGGTTGGGATTGATTAAAGGAAAAAAGAAACTAAAACAGTGGCAGGGTGGGGGATGAGGTATTAAATTGCTCTCCGGCTCCAGTCAGGTGTCTCAATTGATTTCACATTATTGTTTTCACTCAGGCCTTGAATCGTAGTCAGTAGTCTATGGCCCATTCCCATGGGGGAAACATCGTAGCACTCCCCCACTCACATGTGGGAGTTATTCTGCTGGTGTACACGAAAAGACAGCATACACACACATTTTGCGTCATATGCTGTTCTTGTAGGTGTTCTCTCTTTCCTTCTATTATAGTTACAGCAAACAATACCTGCAAGTATTTTTTTTCCAACGTTATATAACCACTGACTCACACACTCTCGCTTTTTCTGTCTCTCTAACCTCTAGCTTCCAGTTCCTGTATGCACATGTCGACCACCATGGGCCTCTTGGTGTTGTGGGCTTTGACCAGCGTGGTCAGGTCACAGCTGTACACCTTCTTGACGTGCCGCAGGTCCGGCTGGCAGTCGTTCGGCACGACTTTGGAGCACTGCTTGTGGACGTTCAGCCCACAGTCTGACAGAGAAAGATAGACTATGAAAGTGAATTTGACATTTTAAGGGAGAGTTTTACATCACTGTAGGTCCACTCTTGACCTGAAAGCAGCTGTCTGGCATCTTGTGTAGGTGTATTTACTTAAAAGTGTGCCTGTATCCTGCTGTAAGCTCTTCACACCAATAGATTGGTTAAAGTTGCATTTAAACGTAGGCGTTGCAGAGGCACAGTTCAGCACCCACACACAGCAATAATCGCACTGACAGTGTGTTCTTTGGCACCCATCGTTTAACATTTAAAATCCATGATACACCGCAGATGAGTCAACAGCAAAAGTGACTAACTTTAAGCCCGGTGTCCCAGTTACAAGTCACGCACAGCGGAGGAGGCAAAAAGAGCAGAACGTCAATCTTTTTTTGGGGAGATATTTGTGCACAATCAGTCAGTGATTACTAAAAACCTGTGAGCTTAAGAAAAGTGTATTATCCACTGGTGTGTGTGTGTGTGTGTGTGTGTCTGTGTTACCTGCACACTTGACTCCCTGAGCGATGAGACCCCACATGAAGTTGGCACAGTACTCACACCAGTGGGGGCCTCTGAATGTATGAACCTAGTTAAAAAGACAACAGAGAAAAGCAGAAATCCATATTTAAAATGCCGTGTAAATGTATCACATAATTCACAACACAAAATATAAACAGACAAAGTAATTTGAAAAGTGGGGAAAAGACATAAATATGTGTCGCAAAATAGTAATATATATTTAACCAAGTATACACTGAGAAAAAGGTGAGAAAAATATTCTTATAACCCAGACTGGTTCAGGAAATACCTGAATACCAGCAATAATCTTTATTCTAGACTAACAGGCACTGACAAAAGAATGATGGAGACACAATAGGAGTGCTGAGTTCCAATCTGCTCAATTATTGCATAAATTGCCCCTATATAATGAAATGCTAATAACCTCCATCGCATCACAGTTCTCTCTTTGTGTGTGTCTGTCGGTGTGTGTTGGTCCATATGTCCCTTGAGCTCTGTACACTGTGGCTGTGACCTTTGTCCTCCTCATTAATGGCTACTTGGAATATGGAAATCTGTGAATCTAAAGTGCCAAACAGAAGCTTAAAAAATCTGAATGTAAATGCAGAAATGTGTGTTTCTCTGTTTGAGGGCATGTGTGCATGTGTGTTATCCTGACGCTGTGTGCGCTCTGAGGTGAATAAGACCCCAAGAGCTGAATCAGCGATTCTGGCATCATTCAACACACACACACACACACACACACACACACACACACACACACACAGGACGGAGAAGCAAAGGAACGGCTTACCTTGAAGTTGTGGACCTTCTCATACTTGGGCACTAAGTCGCTCTCCCTCAGGGTGGCCCGCCGCACCAGCGATGTGAGCTGCGAAAGGGCAAAAGATCTGATTGGTTGCCAGAAAGTGGAAGCAGGGGAGCTGGGTTTGGAGGGGGTTGGCGCCCGGTTAAAGCGGTTTCCCCTGCCCGTGCTGGGGTCCGAGGTGCTCCCCGAGATTGGCAGGGAGGAAATTGAACCAGCGCTGACATTCAAACTGAGAGCTGCGGTAAACAAAGAGCCCTTCTGACCTGCATCCTTCTCGACCCGCCTGCGTGATTGCTTTTTACCCCTTTTAACGACATACGACTCTCGGCTCGGCATTGTGGGACCTATAGTTCTGGTGTGAATTTAACTCACAATGGAGGTTTAAATCAAAAGCTGGCTCTGAGACCAAAATCTGAAAATCATTAATAAATACAGCAAGCCAGTCAGACTGCGAAGGAAACCAAAAACAAACAAGTAAATACTCAAAAGATTGTGTTTAAAAAAAGAAAAACGCCAAGAATAACGAAAACAAACAAGAACAGCTAGACTCTCAAATCATTCCAAAGCTCTGCTCTGACAACAACATCCCAAACCGAGGAGCCAGCACAGGACCAATCCTGCTGTCTTAGCGCCACAGAGATCAGCCAATCAGATCAGCTCTGCATACTGATGCGGCTGCATGGTGCAATTCCAGCTCATAACAAAAAACAAAACAAAAACAAAAGCCAGCCAGCCAATAAAAGTGTGTCTTAAAATCAAGAGAAAAACAAAACCAAAAAAACTTATTGATTCAATAAATTGTCACTTCTTGAGATGCGTTCCTGTCTCTCAGTCTCGTGTAGGTGAGCTCTTTAGCCCACATGGCTCAGTGTGTGCGTGTGTGTGTGTGTTAATCCGCTTTCCCTCGACACATTCGCCTGGCAGAACCAGTGGAGGAGGAGGGAGGTGATAAAAGGCGGAGAGAGAGAAAGAAGAGGGAGGGGGAGGCTAAGCTACGGGGCGGTAATGGATGAATTTAACAGGTCACACTGAGAGGAGAATGAGCCAATCAGAACGCAACGATTCTTGTTGTTCTTCACCAAATCTGCCCTCTCAATTGTCCCAGGAGAGAAAGAGCGAAGGCATGAGCTGAGAAACCAGCCATTATTACATTCATTTGTTCATACTTTGTCCCTCTCTGCTTTCCCCCGCTCTCTCTCCCTTTGTCATTTTACCTGCAGCATCAATCAGCAGTCCAGTAGTTGAACAGTTCAGAATATACACAATCCCATGTCCTAATATGGCACGTGAATCAAAAGCCCTGGTCATCCATTATCTTATCTCATACAAGTAACATTATATAAGAACAGTTTAAGGCTACATTTGCACTTAACAAGGAACCTCTAAAGTGCACTTCTTAAGTGCCGCCTCTGGTGGGTGGATGTTTAGACTTTCCTACTTTGACATTTTTGAGGCTGAGCACACCGTCTTTGGGACTGCGTTAAATCCTGTTACTCTGGGAGAGATTTACAAGCTTTTTTGTTTTGATATTTTACATTAAGATAACACCAGTATTGTTTTGTGGCAAAGGAGCGACAAGACGTTTCAAAAAGATATAGTAAATAGGTTGCATTTTACAAGATTTACAAGCCACCTCATATTCAAATCACTAATCCTCAGGTTATATTGACAACACAGTGGATATGTATGATTGGTCATGGATATTTCATGTTTTCATTGCATGGGGACGGCGGCATGGAGGCTGCTAGGTGTCTAACAAAAGAGAATCTCAATTATAGACAAAGGCAAAAAAACAGAAAAGGGAAAGAGGAAATCCAGCTGGTTAAGCTTAGCAACTCCTCATATTCCTTTGAGTATATGTATTATTTTTTCTGTATGTTCTGTCAGATCACAAGGTGTTAGACTCTGGCTGCTACCTTCTTCTCTCACCACCAAAATCCCTGTCACCATCTGGCGAGCTCACTCTCAAAACAAGGCCTTAAAAATTAAAAATTTAAAAGGTCATCACCACAACCACGTCTTTATCGCCCCCACGGGGGCTATAAAAACTGCATTTAACCCACAGAAAGAGGGGAATACGCTGAATGAACGTGTGAAATATGCATTTCTCGTTTGCGTTGTCTTCCCTACGGCGAGCCACCTCTGGTCTCAATGTCACTACCGTACTGCTTTGTCTGCAAATCCACCCAATTATGAAAGCACACATGTACACACACAAGACCACCCCCCTTACACACACACACACACACACACACACACTCACACACACACACACACACACACACACACACACACACACAGTGATGGATGAGGTGCAGCATAGGTGGTCATGCTCTGCAGGTCATACAAGGCCTCAGGAGGCTCAGTACTGGCGTAGCAGATAAACGCAAAGCACACACTGCACCTACTTTGTTATGGGCCTGTTGGGTGTGTGTGTGCGTTTTCCCTGGACTGTATTACACTTGTGTGTGGTGGGTGTTTGTATACACGAGTCTGAGGGTTTTACAGCAGTTGTCTGGATGGACTTGCATCCCCTGCCTCATTTTCCTGCACCCACCTGCACAAAACGCACAGCTGCAGAACTGAAATTTACATTCAACGCTGCAAAGTGATTAGCGTCTGAGCTAGCTCCTGCTCCTGATTTTGTCACTTCTGTTTTCATACTCTGAAAAGCTTTCCCACCTGTCCTCTGGGTTCGAAACTAAACAAAGAAAACAAACTAATCATCTCCCAGCTGAGTGGAAAGTAATGACCCGACAACAAACTCGGCTCCTGAATACTTAGTAGAAGGATTGTGGGAGATAGAAGGTTTCTGCTATTGCTGTTATGTAATTTTACTGCAGAGCCCTTGGCTGGAGGCCATCTCTCCTCTGCATCCATCCTCCTCCTCCTTCTCCTCATCCTCCTTCTCCTCTTCCTCCTCCTTCTTCTCCTTCGTTCACCATGCTCAACTCTCATTCTCCCATCTTAGTACAGTACATACAGCAACATACCCTTATTTTTCCCTCTCTGCAGGATTTCTTAATATGTCAGTTTCACCAACCATGCTTTACAAGTCCTAATGTACAGATACTATACATGTGCTTATCACTGTTCTATAATATATGCACATTCTGGAAAAATGATGATGGTATATATGCTAAAATGTGCTGCTTTATGATTTATGTAACCTTTATTTTTGCATGAAAGAGATTGATTGTTCCAAGATATTTTGCATAATGCCTATAGCGTTAAATACATTCTACTTCCACTTGTAAATTAACTGATTTCTTCCTCTGCTGAGCTGAAACAGAAATTTATATCATTTCCTACTGATGTCTTCCAGATTCAGGCGCATTCATTTAAAGATGCAAATGCAAATCTAGCCTGAACGTCTTCATCTCTCAAGCTCTCTCTGGATCAATTCATCCTAAAAAACAGGGCTGATGTCTGTGTCCCTACATGTTTTTCCACAGTCAGTTTCTTCACTTATCACTGATCTAATTACTCACCTACAACATGCAAAAAAAAAAAAGTGCAAAACACCCAGTCAAAGAGACTCAAATGATTTAATTTGCCTTAGAACGGTTAATTTTAAAGTGCTCAGACAGTGGTTTCTTAAAAGAGAGTGTTCTTTGGTCTGTAGCCAGTACTCTGTGCCAACGTTACACCCTTTCTTATTCAAAACAACCCCCTTAAAACCCCGCTAAGCATTTGTGTCAGTTTGCCAAAACATATGTTAATTGGAGGATGCTGATGTAGTTCCCTACGCAGTTTCTATATCAAAAATCCATATTTCTAGAAGATATTGATCGCAGCCTCTAAAAGCTACGCCACGTCGCTCTTGAGCTGACGATACTTCCTCAGAGTGACACTTGATGGAATATAATGAACAAACATAACTTAGGTAACATAAGTTCACAAAACGTGTCGGTTCTTACAGAAGGTGGGTGGGTAAGGCTCCCTAACAGCCCCAACATAACAGCCAAATCCGGCCATCGAGTGCACACCTTGCCCATGTCACCGTTCACGCACGTGTGTTTGTCCTCACCCTCTCCTCGGCATTATGGTCGCCTTTGGCCGGAGTTGGCCCATCTACGGCCTCTGGGCTGAGTGGCAGGTGTTTTTTCAGGGTGGGCTCCTGGTTCAGGGTGGTGTAGCCCACGTGTTCGTAGATTGGGTTTATGGTCATCTTAGCGATGTACTCCGCTGCCTGGAAATGTGACAGTTATTTAAGCAGTTAAGTTTTGATATTTTAACAGTTGCAGGTTTATATTATTTACGACAGTAACAATGTGTCAGTGCTTCCCAACTGTATGAATGATAGTTTTTTCCATCTGTGAAATGCAGGGCACAAAGCTTTGAATGCTGCCATTGTGCAAAGTGATCATCTATAATCAGCATTTACTATTCAGCCCTGATCAATGGGACTAATGACGCAGCACTGTTCTCTGAGGCAGTGTTAGCTGAAACAAGCTGAAACTTACTGTTTTTATGACGGAAATGATTAAAAACTTCTTCTAATTCAGTGCAGACTGCAGTTAAGAAGGAAAGAGTGATGAACAAACACACACACACACCTTCGTCTCAATGTAGAGTGTGATGAGGCCGTCTGTGACCAGGTCGTGGATGGACTCAAACCTCTTCTCACCAACAAAGTGCTTCCCGTCATGGTATAGACGGAAGTTTCTCGTCTGGTTCCCGAACCTAGAGAGAATGTAGGAGGGAGCTTTAGCTTTAGGACTGTCTAACAGAGGAGTGGGTCAGAACTTTCTCATCAGCTGTTTGTATAATTTTTTACACAACAGACTCTTCAAAGAGTGGCTGGTTTTCTATCACAGACAGAGGAGATACATCTATCTGCAATCGGCAACATTAACCAGCATCTGGGTTTGACCATTAATGACCTAAAATCTATCTATCTATGATTTGATCAAAATGACGAGACTGTGTGGCTTTTTGCTTCCAACAAGGTGGAAAAGGAAAATAGAAAGCTTGAAAGCAAAAATGCAACCAAAGAAGAAAAAAAGAGGCTTCATCGTAAACAATCTCTACGTGAATTTTCCGGCATACAAAAAAAATGGTGCTAACTCGAAACTGGGCCAACACATAATCTGCTCCTCGGCGGATCACAATGAAACCACTGCAAGATACAACAGCACCGTTAGATCATTAACCCAAAATCCAACCTTTCCTTTCCTGCCGACCCAGAGCGGAACACCAGTTTATGAAGGGGTATTTATGGAAGGTAATTATAACCACAGTGATGGCAGTGTGCAGGTGGAAGAATGATATGGCTATGAATAGAGCGATCTGACCCAAAACCAAATGCAAACTATGCCATGCGCCCATTTTAAAAGTGTGACACCTACTCTGAGAAAATGATAGGTCATATTCAATTAAAGTGACGAATGATATGCTTGCAAGCTAACCAGGCTAAAGCAGAGTGGGCATCTGGGTGGCAATAAGCATTATTCAGACCGACAATAATGATTTCCAAATGAACTTTTGGTTGCCTGATTAGGGAGACGGCTTCAACAAACTAACACTCCCTCACATTCATCTCTCCTCATGAGGCAAAGCTCAGTGGAAGACGGTGTATGGAGCCGCGTGAGGTTAGAGATCAGTGCTCCTGAGTGGCTTATAGCTCGAACCGCCTTTAAACCCCTCACAACTCACAACACCCGCAGTGTGAGCACATGACCAGACATGCACATCCACGCTGTACCCGCTTCAGTGTTTCTAGCCTTGTCATTGACATATGTGCAGGAAATAGGCAAAGGAACTAAAACAACTGTTCCTACAAGGTCTCAGGGGACGGAGGAAAAGCAGAGCACACACAGTTTAGGCAATTCTCCAAGTGAGATTAAATATCTCAAGTTTCCAAAGACAAAACAAAAAACAAAAAACTAAAATACTACATTACTCATTCCTAAATGGATCCAGAAATCTTTAAATATTTAATGCCACAAAAACAACAGTAATATGTAATAAAATGTTATTACAGCTGGTTATGCTGACAGGATATAACTGAAAGCATTCAAACATGGTCACCTAACAAGTTCCTTAACTCATTACTGTAATTTGGCAGTTATATAACATATTCACTTCTGCTAAAAAGGACTGGATACCTGTGTTTATCCAGACTAAACAAACTGGAATCCTTGTTCCAGTACTTAAGCTTGCAAATATCCACTGGCAGCACTGAGCTTACATTTGTTCTTGATTGTGTGTATCTCCCTACATTAGCTAAATGCACAGACACAAGCATACCTTAGAGCCAGCGTGTATGTGCCCGGCTGTCTCTGACTCTCTCTGATGAGGTAGCTGCCTTCGGCCTGACTCAGTAACTGGTCGGCTTCTTCTCTGGAGATCATCCCATGGTACCTGAACGGAAAAAAACAAAAATAAAGGGCTTTATTATTCCACAAAAACAAATTGTGTTCAAATACAAAGCAACAAGCCTTCACAACAACTCATCACCACAACTCGAATTAGCAATGTCAATGCAGATTATCTCAAAATGTCAGATATCAGCCCAATCAGTCTATCTCTACGAAGGAATATTGATAAACTGCAAATAGTAAAAAGTGTTAGATGTATGAATGGATTAGTGTGAGGTATGTCATCAGAGAGACTGGATAGCATTAAACGGGTGAGCAGGAGTGACGCTGGACTTCTGTCATTATCAGCAGTACGTTCTTGATATAATGACTTGAATCTTGATGCAAACCCACTGTCTCTCTACATTTGACGATATGTACAATCACTGTCTATGCTGTTGTTTCATTTTCTGACTTTAAAACACCTGCCCCGTGTGAGGCTCGAACTCACGACCTTCAGATTATGAGACTGACGCGCTGCCTACTGCGCCAACGAGGCCTGATTACAAATGCATCGTGATTCAGACAAATTGTCATAGTTGCCACAGGATGAAGAAAGAAAATTACTATAACAAACAAATATTAATGAAGTGCAAATAGTAATCAGTGTTGAATGTGTCCACATGGAAGAGTGTGAGGTATGTTGTCAGACATCTAGCTGTATAGCATTAAACAGATGAGCAGGAGTGGTGCTGGACTTTTTTAATTATCAACTGTACATTTGTGATATAATGAATCTTCATGCAAACCCACATATTTGCTTGCTGTATAGCTTTCCACCATATTAGACAGATGTATCTGCAGACATTTTGTGTTGATTGGCCTTGTGAGTGCAGGTATCAGCCAGTGCTGATAATCTTAAAATGCCAGATACTGGCAAAAGTAATCGGCCGACCAATTAAATAGTCTATCACTATTAACATGTCTATTTTTGAAAACGTTCTTACTTCACAGCATTTTTTCCACACCTGCCTAAAGCTCTTGCAGAGTACTGCATATGTGGGAACTTTGGATTAACAGCTATAAGGTAGGAGGAGATGAATTAAAAAAACATTCTCATTGTTGGAGATGAAATGAGGGAATGTGCCTCATACGAATCACAGATAAAGAGAGGCTTTACTTACTCTCTTCCATAGTATTTAGGTCGGTTGTCCACCTGCAGGGTAAAGAAAAATATGTAGCCTGTAAAACACTCAGGTCAGATCACATAAGGGCAGAAGAATGACACGTGCAGAAAGAAACTTAAATACTCACACTTTTAACTAAAGAACAAAAGGTAAATGGGATTTTCACGCTTAAATGTCAACTAATGACGCTATGTGAGGGTTCATTATTATGCTTTTGGGTGACTGGCAGCATAACACCACCAAGAATGTCACATTGCTCTGTAGGACAGGAGATCATCCCTCACAAAAACAACAACAACATAGTGTGTGAAACTGTGTGCCCCTGCTGAATATTTCCCCAGACTTTCGGGACTTGAATATAAACCCCGCAGGGTAGCCGGTGTGTGCATGAGGTTGTGAGCGTGTGGGCGCAGACAATATTGCACGGGTCAGATAAAAAGCGGAGCATTCTCAACAAAACTGCTGTCGAGCCAATAAATCAACACCCAACAAACGGCGCTGAATATTAATTTGGATGCACTGTTGTTTGTATGAGAGGAAAGTAAGGGGCATCCTTTCATATTATACACTTTAGCATGAAACACTAAACATTGAGACAAATCTTGGCTTGTACATGCATAATGCCAACAATGTCCTATTTTGACAGGTGGATTTAAAATGTGCTGCACGTAAACACATACTGTCAAAACAGCTAAAACCAAACTCCTGCAAGTTATTTCACTGTTCAATGCGGCGTACAGCAGCCTCCACTAAAACCCTACAATGTCATAAATAACACAACACAGTCGAGATGGCAAAAGCCAGACACAAAGTTGGGCCGACGGAGAGCCAATCATGATCATGCATGTACCCAAAGGAGGTGTGTAAGCCCTCTCTTATCAGCCATGCATGTGCACCTCTGGACACCTACCAAAACTGCTCTGAGGCCTGTCAGCAAGCCGTACGTCAAGCGGACAGACTAATACCCATAACTAATTCTCGACAGACATCCATGACTGCACATTACAGTGCTGAGCTGGAAGAAAGAAGCTGCGTGGAAGAAAAACATCTCTTTTAAACGAAATGATGAAATAAATGGGACAGAGTGAAATGTCTATCTGACAGAGCCTGAAATCACACAAGGGACAATAATGTAAAGAGTTAATTTTGCCCATTTTGCATATGGCATACTAATTTAGGGAAATATTATGCAGCTGTAGCAAACAATACATATTTGTCCTAGAACTACTGCTGGCAATGTCAGCTTGTGCTTTGATAAAGCCTGAATTAATAGCTCCTCACGAGAGCTTGGCACTTAACAGCTCATAAGTTACAAAGATTTATGTCTTTGGTGGATCACTCAAGACACTCAGCAGTCATTGGGAGGCCAATGTCAGATCACGACAGAGAAAAGGCAAGCCATTATCAGGACTGACAAACTGAAACTTGAAAGAACTTTTCAAACGGGTTGCACACACTGGCAAAGAGATGTTCTGCATGAAGCTTAGTCAGCTTCTTCGCCACACTTTTGTTTTTTATCTGT